TCACAATGAGAAATGCTATAACTCTGTGTTAGTCTTAATTTTTAAAAAGTGTATAACATAAAGATTAAGTGATACATTTTAAAGATATAAATATTCAACTGAACGCTATTTTTCTATTATCATTTTTTACCTAAATTACGAGGGTAAAAATGTATGTTATTATTTTTCCAAAAATGTTTTATGGATTTAATACATACATGAAATGCAGAAGATTATTAGTAGACCTATTTGTAAATATGTGGCTATGTCAATTAAAACAACAAATTTATTTTGTATAATACGTTTTTATTTTAGAAAGCAAAATAAACATCTAAATAATAAAAGAAGCTATTTGGTTTACTATGGCGGCTTATGAGTTTTGTTTCTTTAAACCTATGTGTAGCGATCAAATTGTCGTGTCTGTGTTCTCCGCAAACTGAACATTAGTAAGCTGAATAACAGAACTAGATGTGATAGACTTAGGGATTCAAGAAATTAGTTTATCGATTTGATCTTGAGCTATATTTGTACGAATGGCCTCTCCAATTTGTATTTTATAGAATAAATAAGCTGTTTACAAGAAGGTGACAAAGACACGAAATAATTAAAATACTATCTACAACAATAAAAGCCCATGTCAGATGGGGTAGGGACTGGGAGGTTGGCACAGAGGCGTAGCGACCTGTCCCTGGGACAAACTTTCGATTTGCACCCCCCCCCCCTCAAACTTTTGATTTGCACCCCCCTCAAACTTTCAATTTGTTTTTCCAATCCATTTTGTCCCCCCCCCTCGCTACGCCTTTGGGTTGGCAGGACATTCTCTTACTTCTGCACTGACATCAAATCATTAAGAGATCACGTGAGATCCCCAGGGTGTCAGCGTGTCTTGTGTAGACCAGACAGCCAGCAGATTAACTCCTCACCCCCCGGGCCAACCACGGCCGTGGAAACAAGATAACACCCGCGCTATCACATGCAGGGTTTCACTTTTCACTTGGCTAAAATCAGCGACATTCGAAGTTTAACATCCACCCCATTAAACAAACGTCAACATCGACCCATTAAACAAACGTCAACATCCACCCCATTAAACAAACGTCAACATCCGACCCATTAAACAAACGTCAACATCCAGCTTATTAAATAAATTACAACATTCACCTTAATTCACCTTATTAAAAAATTCACCTTATTAAAGAAATTACAACATCCACCAAATTAAACAAAATAAAATATCCATGCCATCAAACATAAAACACCACCCACCTCATGAAATAAACCTAAGCTTCCAGCCCAGTAAACACAATACAACCTCCACCCCATTAAACACAATGCATCACCCACCCCATTAAACACAATACAACCTCCACCCCATTAAACACAATGCAACCTCCACCCCATTAAACACAATACAACCTCCACCCCATTAAACACAATACAACCTCCACCCCATTAAACACAATACAACCTCCACCCCATTAAACACAATACAACCTCCACCCCATTAAACACAATACAACCTCCACCCCATTAAACACAATACAACCTCCACCCCCTTAAACACAATACAACCTCCACCCCATTAAACACAATACAACCTCCGCCCCATTAAACACAATGCAACCTCCACCCCATTAAACACAATACAACCTCCACCCCATTAAACACAATGTAACCTCCATCACGTTGATCTAACTAACGTCTACCACACACGCCGCACACGGTTACCGAAACCATTACCTAATCACCCTTGTCTGTACAATTATGCATTTTGTACGCCAAATTTTGCCTACAGCCTGACCCCAGCCCTGCTATTGCCATAACTTTTGTCTGGCTCTGCTTACAGACTGGCCCCAGCTATTGCCACAATTGTTGTCTGGCTCTGCTGACAGACTGGCCCCAGCTATTGCCACAATTGTTGTATGGCTCTGCTGACAGACTGGCCCCAGCTATTGCCACAATTGTTGTATGGCTCTGCTTACAGACTGGCCCCAGCTATTGCCACAATAGTTGTATGGCTCTGCTTACAGACTGGCCCCAGCTATTGCCACAATTGTTGTATGGCTCTGCTTACAGACTGGCCCCAGCTATTGCCACAATTGTTGTATGGCTCTGCTTACAGACTGGCCCCAGCTATTGCCACAATTGTTGTATGGCTCTGCTTACAGACTGGCCCAGCTATTGCCACAATTGTTGTATGGCTCTGCTTACAGACTGGCCCCAGCTATTGCCACAATAGTTGTATGGCTATGCTTACAGACTGGCCCCAGCTATTGCAACAATTTTACAAACTGGCCCCAGCCCAGTTATTGCCACAATTTTTGTCTACCTCTGCTTCAGGCTGCCCCAGCCCTGCTATTGCCACAATTTTTGTCTGGCTCTGCTTATTGGCTGGCCCCATCTATTGTCTGAATGGTGCCTGGCTCTACTTACAAACTGGCCCCAGCTATTGCCACAATTTTTGTCTGGCTCTGCCTACAGACTGTCCCCAGCCCAGCTATCGAGAAAACCCTTATCCACCGAGATAACTTACCAGCATGAACTTGTAGATGTGAAGGGTGGGACGGGCACACCTCCCCCGGAGATTAGTTCTTCTAAGCGGATAAAGAGAAAGATTTATTTAGGCTGGTCTCACAACATAAGATTAAATACTCCAACAACATAAGATTAAATACTCCAACAACATAAGATTAAATACTTCGAAAAGAAAATAAGCTTTTGGGTGAGCCCATGTATTTAAAAAAAAAAACAACGAAGTGACTACTCGGAAAAAGATGACTCGGCAGAAAATACGAAACTCAATCAAAAATATTTACTTAACAATATTTTCATGTTAGAACCTGTCTAAATTACGGACTAGTGTATGATTTACTGTAAAGCATTGCAAGATTTTACTTTGGCCACTTAAGTCATGGACCATTGGTTTAAAAATGAGATTAACAAGATTAGGGAGTTGTGCTAAAATAAATGTTTGTTTTGTTCTAGTTGAAACTGTGTGTCAGAGTCGATGGGTCAAATATTGGGCTAATTTTCACCATTTTTCTAACTTTAACCTAATTACCATTTTTCTAACTTTAACCTAGATTAGAAGAAAGATTAAATTGCATTTTAAGTATCTTTAAAACATTTTAATTAGTTAATTAATCATGCATGTATATTTTTTTAACTTGATTTTTAATAAAGTTATTAGCGATGCCAAACTTTAAAACTTTTTTATTTTGAAATTACAACAGTCTGATGTGTATATCTGTTTTTGGTGTAACTTGCCTGTACAGAGTAAAACTTAGGGGCAATTACATCTGTAATGTTAACAAATGAAGTGTACAAGAGAAGATAACCTATACTAGATTAATGGGGCAACGGGGAGGTAAAAATGAAAAGCTTACACTAAAAATTAGGACGCACATGAGTTTTCTCCTGCCGCCGAGGTTATCTTCCCATGAATTACGTTGTACAGTAAATTAGGTTCGTCTATCTCCTGCCGTCACACGGGGCAGTTTATTTACCGAGGTGCGCCTATTCCAGGGAACGATGACGTCTCACGTGACCTGCTCCGACGCTTGATTTATCTTCTGCCTGATCAGCCCATATTTTTGGAAGGTAAATCAGCCCATATTTTTGGAAGGTAAATCAGCCCATATTTTTGGAGGTAAATCAGCCCATATTTTTGGAAGGTAAATCAACCCATATTTTTGGAGGTAAATCAGCCCATATTTTTGGAGGTAAATCAGCTCATATTTTGTAAGGTAAATCAGCCCATATTTTTGAAGGTAAATCAGCTCATATTTTTGGAGGTTAATCAGCCCATATTTTTGGAAGGTAAATCAGCCCATATTTTTGGAGGTAAATCAGCCCATATTTTTATCAGCCCATATTTTTGGAGGTAAATCAGCTTATAATTTTGGAGGTAAATCAGCCCATATTTTTGGAGGTAAATCAGCCCATATTTTTAGAAAGTAAATCAGCCCATATTTTTATCAGCCCATATTTTTAGAAAGTAAATCAGCCCATATTTTTGGAAGGTAAATCAGCCCATATTTTTGGAAGGTAAATCAGCCAAGGACACAACACCTCAGTGGGTAAAAGCATCCCCACTGAGCGAGGGTTACACAGGTAAATTGGGACCCACAAAATTAAACCTGTTCAATGCCCCTATGTAAATCATCGATTTGTTGTAAATTAATCTTTCTGCCTTAAATATACTCCGTTTTTTATATTTTGTCTTCGAGCGAGGTAGCAGGCTAATCCACATGTCTGTCGGTCCCATTTCATTATCTGTGGGCCTTAAACAAGAGAAGTTTTCCAAGTACAATAGTAGTTACCTTATGGCAATTATTAAATAGGTATTTACAAAACGGATAGAAAATAACATTTGCAGCTATTATATTGTGAGATTTCTAAAAAAAGTTGTAATTTCTTATATGTGATTTTGTCATTGTAGAGGTTTATGGGGCTGATACGCCAAAATATACAGCACAAGCCTAGAAATAGACAATCTACCAATGTTAACTAGCTTGACAAAATACTAAACAAATAGCAAGACTACCAAGCAAATAGCTTGACTAACTACAAATGACGAATATTTAGACTAGCTACCAAAACCAACCAATAAATAATGTAGTCAAAGTAAAGATATTAGACTAGACCGCGTTAACTTTACAAAGTTATCGTCTTACATTTAACTTTTTTTATTCAATTCAGCTGGAAAAAATTTGACCGTAATATTTAACAGCGGCACGCCATCCTATCAATAGTTTTTATTTTAAATTCATCTGGAAAACATTCGACTAGATTACATAACAGCGGTACGCCCTAATCCCCCCCCCCCCAAAAAATAATCCCCCAGATTTTATCAAACAGTTTTTCCTTCTGTGAAGCGAATAAGTGCGGGCGTGGGACCATTAGGTGTTATCGCTGACCAAAAGATGAGACCGCTGTGCCCAGCAGGTCTACTTTACGTCTACTTTACACCTTCCATTGATAGCAGATTTCATGACGTCATTGAGAGCAGTATTTTTTGTGTGAGCGGAAGGGGGCAGGGCTACTCAATGTAATAAGAAGACACGTTTTTCGTTTCTTCATTTCCTTCTCAAATTTTGAACAGTCCGTGAGTGTTGATGAAAAATGTGTTGAATGTGTTGCCAGGATTAAACTTGTAGACAAGAATATTCTACTTATCTTCAAGTAAATTATTCATTGTCTTTTTCAGCAGTAGCATAGAAAAGGTTTGCTAAATTTTTATTATAACATATCGTGTCTGGTTGTTTCAGTAACATAAACAGCTTGATATTTTATACATGGACATTGTTCATGTTTCAATGATTTCCTGTTTAGCGTATGACATAAAAATAACTCGATCTATTGAATTGACAGCAACAATAACGATACCTCATTCAGTTTAAACATAAACTTGACATAACATACTAGTCACAAACCTAAGCGTAAGTGTAAGATTTCCGTTATTCTATTTCCGGTAAAAGAATGTTTAAAATTGTATAGTATTTATATCTATAGCATCCTGTTTCTCCCGTCGACATATCTTTTCAGTTCGTATCCTAACCGCAGCTCCAACTTGACACTATTTTATTATATAGGCTGTATGTCATGATTAACCGTTCGTTTTATGAGTAACGGGGACGTCGTGGTCGGGTGGTAGAGCGGACGACTGCTAACCCGAACTTCTCGAGTTCGGATTCCAGACTAGAGTTTGTAGGACGTCACTGAGCCCACCCAGCTCTAATAAATACCTAACTCACGTTGGGCAAATGGAGGAGACTGGGCAAAGTGCTGATACACTATATCTTTGTATGCGGAAGTAGAGTTCACCTGTTTCTGTGACTTCCGCTTACGAAGATATAGTGTGATCAGCACTTTGCCCAGTCTCCTCCATTTAGACCGCGAGGTTCGACATGTAACTTTGCTAGTAACGACACCTCTACTCGAACTTAACCTTTGCCCTACTCCCCTCTAACCCCTACTCTAATCGCCAGGCTGCCTATTAAAGTCCCAATAGAAAGTATTCGTGTTGTTGTTTTAGAAGTACAAGGGGTCATCTATTTATGACGTCCACAAAAATTTGAAATTTTAGAACAGTCCCCACGCGTCCGCAAAAGTCGATTTTTTTCGGACCCCCCCCCCCCCTCCCCTCCGTGTGGACGTCGTAAATAGATGACCCCCTACCATAAAGTTTGTTAATCCAAACCCTACCCCACCCCTAATCCTAACCCCGGCTAACAGTAATACTGACGGAGGAAAAATTGGATAGTCACCTTCATGGTTGTAGGTAAGTTCTGTGGTGTCGGGCCCTGGTCGCGGGGTTCCCCTAGGGTTCAAATTGGAGATATTTTTTGCTGCATTACATATCAATAATTGTTATGTATCAACCATGATAATGTATCAATAATTGTAATATATCAACGATGTTAATGTATCAATAATTGTAATGTATCAACCATGATAATGTATTGATAACATCGGCACGCTGTACCTACTAACCAGAGCTCATTTTGGGCCGGGTCTTCTTACACCGTAAAGTTGATATAAAATTTGTTGCAAAATCCGACGAAAATAGCTATCTACCTGTGTGTGTTGTTGTTGTTTTTTTTTTCCAGATATCGTAGCAATTTAGTTCATGCATAGACTCGCTTGATAAAATATCTTTGCTGTGTGATTAGAAGTGTAAAAACATGTAAATAGAAAAACGGTGTTAATAAAGAACGTTTATTAAAAATCAGAATTAAACGTGATGTATTTTGGGAGGGGGGGGGGGCTTTTTTTAGTTTCAAGCATCAGAGTGTTATAGAGTAGTTGAAGCTGTAGTTGGTCCTTAGGTGACAGGGGCTTATAAAATAATTATTTGATGTTTCGCTGACTAAAGACGGGGTTTGATGGTGGCGAGCGTGAGGGGGGGGGGGGCTAATCTGTGGCGACATGGGCTAGTATAGGGTTAAGTAGGGAAACTTGAACTAACAAGCACCAAAACTGGCCAAAATAGAGCAACAATCTGTGAAGCCTTTATTTCCCCTGTTCAAGTAGCATCACAAAGTAACATTCACAGTAACACAAAGTAACTTGTCCATCACAGTAACACAAAGTAACTTGTCCAGTGGTAAAAGGTTGTTTTTTTTTACTGCAGGAGTTTGAGCCATGTGTGTGTGATATTCGTACATCAGAGGCTGTGGTGAGGACCTGGCGACATTTCTACGCCAGTTGACGACATTTCATATACAGCACAGACGACATTTCTACATCACAGACGACATTTCTACATCACAGACGACATTTCTAAATCAGAGGCGACATTTCTAAATTAGAGGCGACATTTCTACATCAGAGGCGACATTTCTAAATTAGAGGCGACATTTCTACATCAGAGGCGACATTTCTAACTCAGAGGCGACATTTCTAAATTAGAGGCGACATTTCTACATCAGAGGCGACATTTCTAAATTAGAGGCGACATTTCTACATCAGAGGCGACATTTCTACACCAGGCTTACCTGAGTTGGCGCTGAGTTTAATGGGACCTGCCTTATTAGCGACAGACATTAGGCATGCCCTGTTTTTGTTGCGGAGGTAAGTCACCTTTTTGTGTCACCACTTATGGTTCACCACTTATGGGTCACCTTAATGTGGCTCCCACGTCGGAACTGTCATGTCACAAATGCCATATAACTCTCTTCTACTAGCGCTCATGTGTCACCTCTCTTCTATTCGCGCTCCTGTGTCACCTCTCTTCTATTATCGTTCATGTGTCACCTCTCTTCTATTAGCGCTCATGTGTCACCTCTCTTCTATTAGCGCTCATGTGTCACCTCTCTTCTATTAGCGCTCCTGTGTCACCTCTCTCCTATTAGCGCTCGTGTGTCACCTCTCTTCTATTAGCGCTCGTGTCACCTCTCTCCTATTAGCCCTCCTGTGTCACCTCTCTCCTATTAGCGCTCCTGTGTCACCTCTCTCCTATTAGCGCTCCTGTGTCACCTCTCTCCTATTAGCGCTCCTGTGTCACCTCTCTTCTATTAGCGCTCCTGTGTCACCTCTCTCCTATTAGCGCTCCTGTGTCACCTCTCTTCTATTAGCCCTAATGTGTCACCTCTCTTCTATTAGCGCTCGTGTCACCTCTCTTCTATTAGCCCTCCTGTGTCACCTCTCTCCTATTAGCGCTCCTGTGTCACCTCTCTCCTATTAGCGCTCCTGTGTCACCTCTCTTCTATTAGCGCTCGTGTCACCTCTCTTCTATTAGCCCTCCTGTGTCACCTCTCTCCTATTAGCGCTCCTGTGTCACCTCTCTTCTATTAGCGCTCGTGTCACCTCTCTTCTATTAGCCCTCCTGTGTCACCTCTCTCCTATTAGCCCTCCTGTGTCACCTCTCTCCTATTAGCGCTCGTGTCACCTCTCTCCTATTAGCGCTCCTGTGTCACCTCTCTTCTATTAGCGCTCCCGTGTCACCTCTCTTCTATTACCGCTCCTGTGTCACCTCTCTTCTATTAGCGCTCCCGTGTCACCTCTCTTCTATTAGCCCTCCTGTGTCACCTCTCTCCTATTAGCGCTCGTGTCACCTCTCTTCTATTACCGCTCCTGTGTCACCTCTCTCCTATTAGCGCTCGTGTCACCTCTCTTCTACTAGCGCTCGTGTCACCTCTCTCCTATTAGCGCTCGTGTCACCTCTCTTCTATTAGCGCTCGTGTCACCTATGTTCTATTAGCGCTCCCGTGTCACCTATGTTCTATTAGCGCTCCTGTGTCACCTCTCTTCTATTAGCGCTCCCGTGTCACCTATGTTCTATTAGCGCTCCTGTGTCACCTCTCTTCTATTAGCGCTCCCGTGTCACCTCTCTTCTATTAGCGCTCGTGTGTCACCTCTCTTCTATTAGCGCTCGTGTCACCTCTCTTCTATTAGCCCTCCTGTGTCACCTCTCTCCTATTAGCGCTCCTGTGTCACCTCTCTCCTATTAGCGCTCCTGTGTCACCTCTCTTCTATTAGCGCTCGTGTCACCTCTCTTCTATTAGCCCTCCTGTGTCACCTCTCTCCTATTAGCGCTCCTGTGTCACCTCTCTTCTATTAGCCCTCCTGTGTCACCTCTCTCCTATTAGCGCTCGTGTCACCTCTCTCCTATTAGCGCTCGTGTCACCTCTCTCCTATTAGCCCTCCTGTGTCACCTCTCTCCTATTAGCGCTCGTGTCACCTCTCTTCTAGTTAAAGGTTGTAGTTGTGTTACAACTCCAAGTAAATAGCTTGTTCAAGTGTAAAGTTTGTAGAGCCTATATATGTTGATCTACTGAATATCTTTTTCAAATAAACCTTGATAAGTGTGAGACCGTTTGACTTTTCTAGTCGTTATTTCTTTTCATTCGTAAGATGTGTACGTCTAGTCCATGGTTTTCCAACGAGCAGTGGCATCACAAGGCTGGGGTTGGGGGGAGGGGGGGGGGGGCATCCGCATCGGGTGACACCATTTAGGGTGACACCACGACAACATTTTGTAAAATTTACTATAAAAAATGCAATGTTTTATGCCGTTAAAATAACAAAGTAGTATGGGGGAGGGGGGAGGTGTAACACCTAACTGAAAATACAATTTTTTTGGAGAGGGTTCGCGTTGACACCCTCTGTTATCGCACCGGTTTACACCCGACCTAGTGACGCCACTGTGTGACTCCTGTGTTCCCTTCTTTTGGTTGTGTGACTCACGTGTTCCCCTCTAGTGGATGTGTGACTCCTGTGTTCCCTTCTTTTGGATGTGTGACTCACGTGTTCCCCTCTAGTGGATGTGTGACTCCTGTGTTCCCTTCTAGTATATTCGTGACTTAGGCCCTGTGTTCCCCAGTGATTTCTTCCATGTACTTAATATCAAAAGCTACCGCTTCAGTTACAACTGGTGGGCTCGATGTGTTGTAGGTAAGAAAAAAAACCAGCTCAAGACACCAAGCCTGCCCTCGCTAACTTATGTCTCAGGCGATAACCCGGATGTAAACCTCAGCCCTGACGACATCACACTTATAAAACAGACGTGTCAGATGCTGTTTGAGGAGCTCAATATAGAACGACAGGCACTGCCTTTCCTGTTGGTGTAAGTAGATTTGTATCAATATAGAACGACAGGCACTGCCTTTCCTATTGGTGTAAGTAGATTTGTATCAATATAGATTTTCCTGTTGGTGTAAGTAGATTTGTATCAATATAGAACGACAGGCACTGCCTTTCCTATTGGTGTAAGTAGATTTGTATCAATATAGAACGACAGGCACTGCCTTTCCTATTGGTGTAAGTAGATTTGTATCAATATAGATTTTCCTGTTGGTGTAAGTAGATTTGTATCAATATAGAACGACAGGCACTGCCTTTCCTATTGGTGTAAGTAGATTTGTATCAATATAGAACGACAGGCACTGCCTTTCCTATTGGTGTAAGTAGATTTGTATCAATATAGAACGACAGGCACTGCCTTTCCTATTGGTGTAAGTAGATTTGTATCAATATAGAACGACAGGCACTGCCTTTCCTATTGGTGTAAGTAGATTTGTATCAATATAGAACGACAGGCACTGCCTTTCCTATTGGTGTAAGTAGATTTGTATCAATATAGATTTTCCTGTTGGTGTAAGTAGATTTGTATCAATATAGAACGACAGACACTGCCTTTCCTATTGGTGTAAGTAGATTTGTATCAATATAGAACGACAGGCACTGCCTTTCCTATTGGTGTAAGTAGATTTGTATCAATATAGATTTTCCTGTTGGTGTAAGTAGATTTGTATCAATATAGAACGACAGACACTGCCTTTCCTATTGGTGTAAGTAGATTTGTATCAATATAGAACGACAGGCACTGCTTTTCCTGTTGGTGTAAGTAGATTTGTATCAATATAGAACGACAGGCACTGCCTTTCCTATTGGTGTAAGTAGATTTGTATCAATATAGAACGACAGGCACTGCCTTTCCTATTGGTGTAAGTAGATTTGTATCAATATAGATCGACAGGCACTCCCTTTCCTATTGGTGTAAGTAGATTTGTATCAATGTAGAACAAAAAAGGCACTGCCTTTCCTATTGGTGTAAGTAGATTTGTATCAATATAGAACGACAGGCACTGCCTTTCCTATTGGTGTAAGTAGATTTGTATCAATATAGAACGACAGGCACTGTCTTTCCTGTTGGTGTAAGTAGATTTGTATCAATATAGAACAACAGGCACTGCCTTTCCTGTTGGTGTAAGTAGATTTGTATCAATATAGAACAACAGGCACTGCCTTTCCTGTTGGTGTAAGTAGATTTGTATCAATATAGAACGACAGGCACTGCCTTTCCTATTGGTGTAAGTAGATTTGTATCAATATAGAACGACAGGCACTGCCTTTCCTATTGGTGTAAGTAGATTTGTATCAATATAGAACGACAGACACTGCCTTTCCTATTGGTGTAAGTAGATTTGTATCAATATAGAACGACAGGCACTGCCTTTCCTATTGGTGTAAGTAGATTTGTATCAATATAGAACGACAGGCACTGCCTTTCCTGCTGGTGTAAGTAGATTTGTATCAATATAGAACGACAGACACTGCCTTTCCTATTGGTGTAAGTAGATTTGTATCAATATAGAACGACAGGCACTGCCTTTCCTATTGGTGTAAGTAGATTTGTATCAATATAGAACGACAGGCACTGCCTTTCCTGTTGGTGTAAGTAGATTTGTATCAATATAGAACGACAGACACTGCCTTTCCTATTGGTGTAAGTAGATTTGTATCAATATAGAACGACAGGCACTGCCTTTTCTGTTGGTGTAAGTAGATTTGTATCAATATAGAACGACAGACACTGCCTTTCCTATTGGTGTAAGTAGATTTGTATCAATATAGAACGACAGGCACTGCCTTTCCTATTGGTGTAAGTAGATTTGTATCAATATAGAACGACAGGCACTGCCTTTTCTGTTGGTGTAAGTAGATTTGTATCAATATAGAACGACAGACACTGCCTTTCCTATTGGTGTAAGTAGATTTGTATCAATATAGAACGACAGGCACTGCCTTTTCTGTTGGTGTAAGTAGATTTGTATCAATATAGAACGACAGACACTGCCTTTCCTATTGGTGTAAGTGGCATTGTATCAATATAGAACGACGGGCACTGCCTTTCCTATTGGTGTAAGTAGATTTGTATCAATATAGAACGACAGGCACTGCCTTTCCTATTGGTGTAAGTGGCATTGTATCAATATAGAACGACGGGCACTGCCTTTCCTATTGGTGTAAGTAGATTTGTATCAATATAGAACGACAGGCACTGCCTTTCCTATTGGTGTAAGTAGATTTGTATCAATATAGAACGACAGGCACTGCCTTTCCTATTGGTGTAAGTAGATTTGTATCAATATAGAACGACAGGCACTGCCTTTCCTATTGGTGTAAGTAGATTTGTATCAATATAGAACGACAGGCACTGCCTTTCCTGCTGGTGTAAGTAGATTTGTATCAATATAGAACGACAGGCACTGCCTTTCCTATTGGTGTAAGTAGATTTGTATCAATATAGAACGACAGGCACTGCCTTTCCTATTGGTGTAATTAGATTTGTATCAATATAGGACGACAGGCACTGCCTTTCCTGTTGGTGTAAGTAGATTTGTATCAATATAGAACGACAGGCACTGCCTTTCCTGTTGGTGTAAGTAGATTTGTATCAATATAGAACAACAGGCACTGCCTTTCCTATTGGTGTAAGTAGATTTGTATCAATATAGAACGACAGGCACTGCCTTTCCTATTGGTGTAAGTAGATTTGTATCAATATAGAACGACAGGCACTGCCTTTCCTATTGGTGTAAGTAGATTTGTATCAATATAGAACGACAGGCACTGCCTTTCCTGTTGGTGTAAGTAGATTTGTATCAATATAGAACGACAGGCACTGCCTTTCCTATTGGTGTAAGTAGATTTGTATCAATATAGAACAACAGGCACTGCCTTTCCTATTGGTGTAAGTAGATTTGTATCAATATAGAACGACAGGCACTGCTTTTCCTGTTGGTGTAAGTAGATTTGTATCAATATAGAACAACAGGCACTGCCTTTCCTATTGGTGTAAGTAGATTTGTATCAATATAGAACGACAGGCACTGCCTTTCCTGTTGGTGTAAGTAGATTTGTATCAATATAGAACGACAGGCACTGCCTTTCCTATTGGTGTAAGTAGATTTGTATCAATATAGAACAACAGGCACTGCCTTTCCTATTGCTGTAAGTAGATTTGTATCAATATAGAACGACAGGCACTGCCTTTCCTGTTGGTGTAAGTAGATTTGTATCAATATAGAACGACAGGCACTGCCTTTCCTGTTGGTGTAAGTAGATTTGTATCAATGTAGAACGACAGGCACTGCCTTTCCTATTGGTGTAAGTAGATTTGTATCAATATAGAACAACAGGCACTGCCTTTCCTATTGGTGTAAGTAGATTTGTATCAATATAGAACGACAGGCACCGCTTTTCCTGTTGGTGTAAGTAGATTTGTATCAATATAGAACAACAGGCACTGCCTTTCCTATTGGTGTAAGTAGATTTGTATCAATATAGAACAACAGGCACTGCCTTTCCTATTGGTGTAAGTAGATTTGTATCAATATAGAACGACAGGCACTGCCTTTCCTGTTGGTGTAAGTAGATTTGTATCAATATAGAACGACAGGCACTGCCTTTCCTATTGGTGTAAGTAGATTTGTATCAATATAGAACGACAGGCACTGCCTTTCCTATTGGTGTAAGTAGATTTGTATCAATATAGAACGACAGGCACTGCCTTTCCTATTGGTGTAAGTAGATTTGTATCAATATAGAACGACAGGCACTGCCTTTCCTGTTGGTGTAAGTAGATTTGTATCAATATGGAACGACAGGCACTGCCTTTCCTATTGGTGTAAGTAGATTTGTATCAATATAGAACAACAGGCACTGCCTTTCCTATTGGTGTAAGTAGATTTGTATCAATATAGAACGACAGGCACTGCTTTTCCTGTTGGTGTAAGTAGATTTGTATCAATATAGAACAACAGGCACTGCCTTTCCTATTGGTGTAAGTAGATTTGTATCAATATAGAACGACAGGCACTGCCTTTCCTGTTGGTGTAAGTAGATTTGTATCAATATAGAACGACAGGCACTGCCTTTCCTATTGGTGTAAGTAGATTTGTATCAATATAGAACAACAGGCACTGCCTTTCCTATTGGTGTAAGTAGACTTGTATCAATATAGAACGACAGGCACTGCCTTTCCTGTTGGTGTAAGTAGATTTGTATCAATATAGAACGACAGGCACTGCCTTTCCTGTTGGTGTAAGTAGATTTGTATCAATATAGAACAACAGGCACTGCCTTTCCTATTGGTGTAAGTAGATTTGTATCAATATAGAACGACAGGCACTGCCTTTATTATTGGTGTAAGTAGATTTGTATCAATATAGAACGACAGGCACTGCCTTTCCTGTTGGTGTAAGTAGATTTGTATCAATGTAGAACGACAGGCACTGCCTTTCCTATTGGTGTAAGTAGATTTGTATCAATATAGAACAACAGGCACTGCCTTTCCTATTGGTGTAAGTAGATTTGTATCAATATAGAACGACAGGCACCGCTTTTCCTGTTGGTGTAAGTAGATTTGTATCAATATAGAACAACAGGCACTGCCTTTCCTATTGGTGTAAGTAGATTTGTATCAATATAGAACAACAGGCACTGCCTTTCCTATTGGTGTAAGTAGATTTGTATCAATATAGAACGACAGGCACTGCCTTTCCTGTTGGTGTAAGTAGATTTGTATCAATATAGAACAACAGGCACTGCCTTTCCTATTGGTGTAAGTAGATTTGTATCAATATAGAACGACAGGCACTGCCTTTCCTGTTGGTGTAAGTAGATTTGTATCAATATAGAACGACAGGCACTGCCTTTCCTATTGGTGTAAGTAGATTTGTATCAATATAGAACGACAGGCACTGCCTTTCCTATTGGTGTAAGTAGATTTGTATCAATATAGAACGACAGGCACTGCCTTTCCTATTGGTGTAAGTAGATTTGTATCAATATAGAACGACAGGCACTGCCTTTCCTATTGGTGTAAGTAGATTTGTATCAATATAGAACGACAGGCACTGCCTTTCCTATTGGTGTAAGTAGATTTGTATCAATATAGAACGACAGGCACTGCCTTTCCTGTTGGTGTAAGTAGATTTGTATCAATGTAGAACAAAAAAGACGCTGCCTTTTCTACTGTTGTAAGTATATTTGTTACAATGTTTTTGGCACCGTTAAGCAGTTGACTTCTCGAGTGTGATACACTGACCTATGAGCTGAGACATCACCAAACCTTAGCATGCCACTTAGTGATATCCTGGAGCTGATCCCTTTTGTTTATATTCGGGCATAACATGCTCACGTTTTAGTCTCAACCTAAAGCTCACGACCTCCCCCGCCCCCTCCTGTGGTTTTTGACTTGTTGCCTTGTTAGCTTACACTCCTCAACTAGACCATTTAATTCCTCAGGTACTGACGGTGAATCCCCTCCTCCATTGTTTACACTGATTGCATTGAAACATGGTTACATTTTATATGGGTTTTTTTTTAAACTACCCCGAGTATCAACGTGTGTTTAAAGCCTTCAGCGATAAACTTGATCTAATTTCAGTTTTTTCAAAACCTACCCAGAACATCAACGTCTGTTTAAAGCCTTCAGCGATAAACTTGATCTAATTTCAGTTTTTTCAAAACCTACCCCGAATATCAACGTCTGTTTAAAGCCTTCAGCGATAAACTTGATCTAATTTCAGTTTTTTCAAAACCTACCCCGAATATCAACGTCTGTTTAAAGCCTTCAGCGATAAACTTGATCTAATTTCAGTTTTTTCAAAACCTACCCAGAACATCAACGTCTGTTTAAAGCCTTCAGCGATAAACTTGATCTAATTTCAGTTTTTTCAAAACCTACCCCGAATATCAACGTCTGTTTAAAGCCTTCAGCGATAAACTTGATCTAATTTCAGTTTTTTCAAAACCTACCCAGAACATCAACGTCTGTTTAAAGCCTTCAGCGATAAACTTGATCTAATTTCAGTTTTTTCAAAACCTACCCCGAGTATCAACGTGTGTTTAAAGCCTTCAAGGATGTCCCCTTTAAAGATCTCAGCACTCTATCGGCCACACACAACCACGGGGCACTGGTCATGGGTGAGATCAAGGAACTGGCTGGCATATTGGACAACCCGCCACAGCTAAGGGTTGGTTTTCATCTTTATATTATATATATATATATACATATTATATATATATATATATATATATATATATATATATATATATATATATATATATATATATATATATATATATATATATATATATATATATATATAAAGCTCAGTTCTGTAACGTGTGGCGAAAAAGTTTGTCGTTGACAGTTATATGGATTCAAGTGTTAGATTTAATATCGTGCTCATAGTCTAAATGTACGAGTCAAAAAATTACCATTGAAAGTCTTTAAAAACAATTTTCATTCTATTTACTTAGAAGAATAATTTTCAATTATGAACGCGACATAAAATTTTTAAAAAGTGTATCGACGTTTATAAAATTTCTAAAATTGAGTCGGAAATGTATTGACTGCACAGTTACTTCCCTTTAATAAAAAAAAAATTCTTAAGAAGAAAGAATTTACATTTTATTACTTTGTTTTGGGGGTTAAGAAAAAAAAAATAATTACATAATTAGCGGGGATTGATTAAGTGCAATGTCGTTAGGTATTTTTAACACTGCCTTTTATTTATTCTATACACTGAACATACTGTTCAATATTTTTTTTTAAATCAATAACATTTAATAAGCCAGGTCCTACAAATCCTATATGTTTATTTCTTTCCATTTACGGATAAGCTTGGAGTATTATCATTTTTGTTCACTAAATTGAAACAGGCGCGTCCGCCGGCGCCCTTGCACGGTTCGATTTGGCACCCTGGGCTATCATGTGAGCGCTATGCTGCATAGTTTTGTTTTTAACAGTGCGATAGACTATGGGTAAGAAAGGTTACTATAGTCTTTAAGTGAATCAAATCCGGGCGTCCTCCGGCACCCCGACAGGGTGCTATTTGGCGCCCCGGGCCTTCCGGTGTACGCTATGGTATATACGTTCGCGTGAGTTCAAAAGACTATGAATAAGTTATGTACTATAGTCGTTTACTAAGTTCAATCAGGCGGTGACGTCATGGTGCGTCCTCTGGCGCCCAGACAGGGTGCTATTTGGGGTCCCGGGCCTCCCGTGTTCGGTTTCGCGCCTACGTTCATTAAAGTGAGTGCAAAAGACTATGAATAAGTTGGGGTACTATAGTCGTTTATTAAGCTGAAACAGGCGATTCCGCCCCGGGCTAGACTCTGAGCACTGTGCGTTTATGTTCGCGTTAGTGTTTTCTTTGTGTTTAGGTTGTGTTTGCGTTAGTGGTTGCGTTTTGATTTGGTTCGTTTTTGTTCTTTCTTTTTTCGTTTTCGTTTGTGTTTTATTTTCTTTGCGTTTGTGTTTGTATTTGTGTTTGTGGTTGGTTTTGCGTTTGTATTTGGTTTGTTTTCGTTTGTTTTTTCGTTTGTGTTTTTTTCTTTGGGTTTGTGGTTGGTTTTGGATTTGGTTTGTTTTCGTTTGCTTTTTCGTTTGTTTTTTTCTTTGTGTTCGTATTGGTGTTTGTGGTTGTGGTTGGGTTAGTTGTTAGGTTTTTGTTTTCGTTTGTATTTGTAATTGTGTTAGCGTTATGTTTGCGTTTTGTTGTTTTGGTTTTGGTTTGGGTGTGCAATGCCGGGTTTATGATGATTACTAAACACACAGGTAATGGTCTTTAACAGAAAGGTTTTTCACAGAAGCCAGAGCAGGGCCTGGCCGGGACGGCTAGTATATCTAATATATAAAGCTCAGTTCTGTATGTAATGCATTTGTATATCGTTGGAATTGTACGAATTTAAAAGTTAGAAAATTATCGTGCGCATTTGTCTAAATTTATGAGCTAAAAAATTACTATTGAAAGTGTTGGGAAATAATTTTCATTTTTCAAATTAAAGTAATAATTGTCGGCATGTTTATTAAACACAAGTTTTAAAAAAAATATCATCTTTTACAAAAATTCTAATTATGTCTTTATTTAGTCCTATAGCACTTACTTCCCTTTGATAAATTAGGAAAAACACAATTACTTCCCTTTATAAAACCATAGCATTCCGTGAAAATAATTTACTTTTTAATTACTTTGTTTTGGTGTTGGGAAAAAAAATAATTACATAATTAGCGGGGATTGATCAAGTGCAAATGTTGTAGGTATTTTACGGATAAGCTTGGAGTATTAAAATTGTTTATTAAATTGAAACAGGCGCGTTCGTTTAAGTGAGTGCAAAAGACTGTGAATAAGTTGGGGTACTATAGTCGTTCATTAAGCTAAAACAGGTGATTCCGCCCCGGGCTTTTATGTTCGCGTTAGTGTTTTCTTTGTGTTTAGGTGGGTTTGCGTTAGTGGTTGCGTTTTAATTTGGTTCGTTTTTGTTCTTTCTTTTTTCGTTTTTGTTTGTGTTTTTTTTGTTTGGGTTTGTATTTGTGTTTTTGGTTGGTTTTGCGTTCGGATTTGGTTTGTTTTCGTTTGCTTTTTCGTTGTTTTTTTTTTTGTTGGTATTGGTGTTTGTGGTTGGGTTTGTTGTTAGGTTTTTGTTTTCGTTTGCTTTTTTGTTTGTTTTTTCTTTGTGTTTGTATTGGTGTTTGTGGTTGTGGTTGGGTTTGTTGTTAGGTTTTTGTTTTCGTTTGTATTTGTAATTGTGTTAGCGTTATGTTTGCGTTTTGTTGTTTTGGTTGGTTGTGGTTTGGGTGGGCAATGCCGGGTTTATGATGATTACTAAACACACAGGTAATGGTCTTTAACAGAAAGGTTTTTCACAGAAGCCAGAGCAGGGCCTGGCCGGGACGGCTAGTCTAATATATAAAGCTCAGTTCTGTAACGTGTGGCAAAAAAGTTTGTCGTTGACAGTTCTATGGATTTAAGTGTTAGATTTTTTATCGTGCTCATAGTCTAAATTTACGAGTCAAAAAATTACCATTGAAAGTCTTTAAAAACAATTTTCATTCTATTTACTTAGAAGAATAATTTTCAATTATGAACACGACATAAAATTTTTAAAAAGTGTATCGACGTTTATAAAATTTCTAAAATTGTGTCGGAAATGTATTGACTGCACAGTTACTTCCCTTTAATAAAAAAAATTCTTAAGAAGAAAGAATTTACATTTTATTACTTTGTTTTTGGTGTTAAGAAAAAAAAAATAATTACATAATTAGCGGGGATTGATTAAGTGCAATGTCGTTAGGTATTTTTAACACTGCCTTTTATTTATTCTATACACTGAACATACTGTTCAATTTTTTTTTTTTTAAATCAATAACATTTAATAAGCCAGGTCCTACAAATCCTATATGTTTATTTCTTTCCATTTACGGATAAGCTTGGAGTATTATCATTTTTGTTCACTAAATTGAAACAGGCGCGTCCGCCGGCGCCCTTGCACGGTTCGATTTGGCACCCTGGGCTATCATGTGAGCGCTATGCTGCATAGTTTTGTTTTTAACAGTGCGATAGACTATGGGTAAGAAAGGTTACTATAGTCTTTAAGTGAATCAAATCCGGGCGTCCTCCGGCACCCCGACAGGGTGCTATTTGGCGCCCCGGGCCTTCCGGTGTACGCTATGGTATATACGTTCGCGTGAGTTCAAAAGACTATGAATAAGTTATGTACTATAGTCGTTTACTAAGTTCAATCAGGCGGTGACGTCATGGTGCGTCCTCTGGCGCCCAGACAGGGTGCCATTTGGGGTCCCGGGCCTCCCGTGCTCGGTTTCGCGCCTACGTTCATTAAAGTGAGTGCAAAAGACTATGAATAAGTTGGGGTACTATAGTCGTTTATTAAGCTGAAACAGGCGATTCCGCCCCGGGCTAGACTCTGAGCACTGTGCGTTTATGTTCGCGTTAGTGTTTTCTTTGTGTTTAGGTTGTGTTTGCGTTAGTGGTTGCGTTTTGATTTGGTTCGTTTTTGTTCTTTCTTTTTTCGTTTTCGTTTGTGTTTTATTTTCTTTGCGTTTGTGTTTGTATTTGTGTTTGTGGTTGGTTTTGCGTTTGTATTTGGTTTGTTTTCGTTTGTTTTTTCGTTTGTGTTTTTTTCTTTGGGTTTGTGGTTGGTTTTGGATTTGGTTTGTTTTCGTTTGCTTTTTCGTTTGTTTTTTTCTTTGTGTTCGTATTGGTGTTTGTGGTTGTGGTTGGGTTAGTTGTTAGGTTTTTGTTTTCGTTTGTATTTGTAATTGTGTTAGCGTTATGTTTGCGTTTTGTTGTTTTGGTTTTGGTTTGGGTGTGCAATGCCGGGTTTATGATGATTACTAAACACACAGGTAATGGTCTTTAACAGAAAGGTTTTTCACAGAAGCCAGAGCAGGGCCTGTGGCCGGGACGGCTAGTATATATATATATATATATATATATATATATATATATATATATATATATATATATATATATATATATATATATATATATATATATATATATATATATATATATATATAGTGTACACCTGTATGTCCTCACATGCCAGAAAGATAAATGTCATGTCTGTGGCGTACAAAAAAAGTAAACAGAAAAAAATGCTATAAATAGTATTAAAATTGGTGGCAGTTTTAATTTATTAAATGCTCCTTAAACGACGAAATAAACAAACATGTTCAATTGCCATACCAACAGTTCCCATAAGTTTAAACTAATACCCTTACAATATTACAATTAAATATAAATACCCTTACAGTAGTGCAATTAAAAATCAATACCCTTATAGTAGTGCAATTAAAAATCAATACCCTTACAGTAGTACAATTAAAAATCAATACCCTTATAGTAGTACAATTAAAAATCAATACCCTTACAGTAGTACAATTAATGATTATCGTTTTTCCACCAGGAGCGGTTTTCATCTTTAAGACAGAGACACGTTCCAAGACGGGTCACTGCATCACAGATGAAGGTTAGTGACAAAACGTTGTTTTCTGACTAGCCCAAGACAATTTTCTAACTGTAGAAGCTTACGGTAACAACGTTGTTTTCTGACTAGCCCAAGACAATTTTATAGCTGTAGAAGTTTACGGAAACAACAACAATTGTTGCTTGTCTAGTCAAGGACCAGGTTGGTGTTAGAATTAGGTTGGGTGGGAAGCGCTCAACATTATGGGGAGTAGCCATATATATATATATATATATATATATATATATATATATATATATATATATATATATATATGTATATATATATATATATATATATATATATATATATATATATATATATATATATATATATATATATATATATGGCGAGTAGGGGAGTGCGTGCGTGTGTGTGTACGTGCGTGTTTGTGGAAAATTGTATAACGACATAAAAAAACGTAAAATTGTGGTTTTGCAACATTTATAATTTCAAACTGAAAGCATTGTTAACAAGACGAGCAGCAATTTAAAATAAAACTTGTCATTTGGGGGTAGGGGGTCCATGAGAGTGGAGGGGTTCTAAACCACGAACAGCCCCACTTCACCACTAAATGGTCCAGCCGTAAGTTCTATACCCACACGTTGCACCTGTAGCCTGCACACTGCCAGTAAACGAAGACGATGTCAGTCATCAGGTCATCAGCCATAGACCCTTGTTTGGGATTGGTATAAGGCGGTTTCAATCATTGTCCTGATTTCTTTTTCTCTCCAGGAAATGTTGATGGTATTCATAAGGTTGGCCAAAAAAGAAGCAGGGCCGAGGTTCACCCTTGAAGCCGAAGTGGCGTGGAGCAAAATGATTGACTATATCATGAATATTGAAGCCAACTACGAGCCTGAAGATATTGGTTCAGCTAAGCCATCGTCTAGTTCTGTTAGAGAGTGTCCCTCTTTAGACCCTCCGTCTAAACGAGCAAGTCCTTCTTTACCGGACAAGGCTAAACAAGCAAACCTATCATTACCGGACCATCCGGCTAAACGAGCAAGTCCTTCTTTACCGGACCCGGCTAAACAATCAAACCTATCATTACCGGACCCTCCGTCTAAACGAGCAAGTCCGTCTTTACCGGACCCGGCTAAAAGAAGCAGTCCACCTGTTAACCATAGCTGAATCTTGACTGGCTTTTGTAATGTTTTTATACTGCTAGATCTGCGTCCAATATATCAATGAGAGCTGTAAGAGTCATGGAGTCATGGTGGCCAACCACGACATCCAGCACCAGTAAGAACTGACTCTGATGCGCACAGTGGATGTCTTTCAAATGTCCAGCAGTACCTTTAAAAAAATGAAACAAGCAAGGGAAACCCAACGCGTGTGCCCGTGAGAGTCTTGAGAACATGTTGGTCATGTGACACCAAGTACTGAACATATAATATTGTATTGTTTTGTTCGACTTAAGCTGGTGACGTTTCAAATGTGATTAAAAATTATAGTTTCTCTTATTCTTGTAATGTTAAAGCTAGTACTAATTATGATATATATATATATATATATATATATATATATATATATATATATATATATATATATATATATATATATATATATGCATCACACACACACCAATCCCATGTCTCTAAGTTCTTTAACTAATTAGTCAATTAGGTTATTGATTCTCATCAATTATTTATTTGTTTAGACTTTTCTTAAGGGTGTAGGTTCCGGTAAATAAAAAGACATGTTTAATACTAGTAATCAAACAATTTTTTTCTCTACAGCTTTTTAAATGTACATCCGCATAAAATGTGTTTCCATTTAAAAAATTGGTGAAAAAATCTAGGTAATAGTGACAACAGCAGCCATCTTTAAAAAATAACCTCTTTGTAGGATTTTCACCATTCATAAATTTATTACATTTTAAGCTCTATAAACATTTGTCCAGTTAGCTAACTATTTGGTTAGGTAGAGTGTATGCTGTATTATGTATGGTATTATATTTTACTTGGGTAGACTCATAAAAATGTAATAAAATTTTGATTTTTATTATACTAAACTATTATGGTTTGCTTCATCGAATAAGGTGCCGATATGTAAACTGTAAAATATACTTTAAAATTGTTCTTTTTTTAAAAAATCATTTTGGTTTTTATTTTAATTCATTACTCATCTCATGTTGACCATTTTTTTATCCCTGTTTTTTTTTTAATGATTAGCCAATCCATTAAATATTCTCATTGCAGGTGCGTTCAAGTATAAAAAAAAAATTCTTCTTGTTACACAAGCAGTGTTTCTTCGAGACGTTTTTCTCTGAGTGTGTGTGTGATGGGGGGGGGGGGGGGAGGGGTACGTTAAAAAAAATTGGTGGGGGGGGTGGAGGGGGATGAACATTCTATGAAGCATATATTGTGTATATAAATGCTATTTCATTCTGGTTGGGGGGTGGGGGATAGACGTGTTTTTAAAAGTTCTAAAGCCATTTTTTTAAACACAAAGGAACAAACTTAAATATTGAATAAAATTAGTCAAAGTAACCAAGAGTTTTATTATTTGAGTATCATAAAAAATGTATAAAAATATTTTTTCGCATAGTAATTTAAATAAATCATAACAAAATTAAACACATTATTTTACAAAAATATTTTAGACCTAGCTAAATTTAAATGGATATAAAAAAATCACGAGAAATTTCTTAAAAGCACAAACGCATTAGATATTTATCAGAACTATGATACTCATGTTATATTTATCAGAACTATGGTACTCATGTTATATTTATCAGAACTATGGTACACAGGTTATATTTGTCAGAACTATGATACACAGGATACATTTATCAGAACTATGATAATAAGGTTTTATTTATCAGAACTATGATACTTAGGTTATATTTATCAGAACTATGATACTCAGGTTATATTTATCAGAACTATGATACACAGGTTATATTTATCAGAACTATGATACTCATGTTATATTTATCAGAACTATGGTACACAGGTTATATTTGTCAGAACTATGATACACAGGATACATTTATCAGAACTATGATAATAAGGTTTTATTTATCAGAACTATGATACTTAGGTTATATTTATCAGAACTATGATACTCAGGTTATATTTATCAGAACTATGATACACAGGTTATATTTATCAGAACTATGATACACAGGTCCTATTTATCAGAACTATGATACTCAGGTTATATTTATCAGAATTAGGATACACAGGATATATTTATCAGAACTATGACACACGGGATATATTATCAGAACTATGATACTCAGGTTATATTTATCAGAACTATGACACACAGGATATATTATCAGAACTATGACACCCAGGATATATTATCAGAACTATGATACACAGGATATATTTATCAGAACCATGATACTCAGGTTATATTTATCAGAACTATGATACAAAACATTTTTTGTCTTAATTATCATAATTATTAGTGTCTTAATTAGTATTATAATAATTAGGTCCAGCAGCTTCTGGAGTAAATCTTACAATAGAAAATGAACAAGATAATTAATTGAAATGTCATCGCCTTAACGGAAGCGATCGTCTGAATGCAGTTTTTTTCTTAGGATTCCCTAAGTTAGGATTGAGGCAATATTTAAAGGCGAAATCAATGAGCCGGTCCAGCAGGATTTTCCAGGATTTTTCCACGTCCTCGGGCCAGGGTGAGGGGAGATACTCCTTCATAAAGGAGAGGTAACTCTCACAGCACTCCTGTCAGGGGGAACAAGAGTCAGTGATTGTGTCAACACTGGAGCGAGAGTCGGGGGGTTTTTTATATAAAAAAAAGGTTTATGTAAACAGGGGGATAAGAGTCAGCGTTTTAAAGCAGAATAAAAAATATTTAGCTTGATTTTTTGTTTAAATGAGGCAAATACTTGTCTAAATAAGGTCTTCAATTCGAAATCGAAATATACGTGTTAAAGTATAATATGAAGAGTACGGTAGTCTTGTTGAGTACAGTCGTTATGGAGAGTACGGTAGTCGTGTTGAGTTGAGTACGTTTTTTTTTTAAGAAAATTGAATTGCAAATACGTGGGGACACATTACAATTCTCTTGTGTGGGAAAACAGGGATTTACCTGCAGATACGTGTGGACAGAGGGATTTACCTGCAGATACGTGTTGACAGAGGGATTTACCTGCAGATACGTGTTGACAGAGGGATTTACCTGCAGATACGTGTTGACAGAGGGATTTACCTGCAGATACGTGTTGACAGAGGGATTTACCTGCAGATACGTGTTGACATAGGGATTTACCTGCAGATACGTGTTGACAGAGGGATTTACCTGCAGATACGTGTTGACAGAGGGATTTACCTGCAGATACGTGTTGACAGAGGGATTTATCTGCAGATACGTGTGGACATAAGGATTTACCTGCATAGATTTCCTGGTATAACCCGCACGTAACAGGCATTCAAAATTTGTGGCGATGACATCTTTTAACACACTGGCAGACTTGATATGCTTGAGGACCTCAGAGATCTGCTTGATGAGGTGGCAGCCATCTTTGTTGGAGCTGAGGCTACCGGAAGTGAGGTTGTTGTAGAACTGGGCGTGGTTGGGGCAATGGTCTAGGTAACTAACACGGGGGAGTCAAACAAAAATAGAATCTTTTAAATAAATGTAGCACGTTGAATTTTTTTCCTTATCTTTTGTATTCGAAAATCATTTATTTTTAACCACAATGTTATAAAGAAACAAGACTTATTTAACGGGCCATTTACAGAAGTAGAGTAGAGAGTATAGGCCGTGGAGGATTAAAGGTAAGGATATCTGGGTCGTAACAATCAATGTCTCACGACAAATGTCGTGCAACAAATGTCTAACAACAAATATCTCACAACAAACGATTTCAAGAAGCTTCTCAAAAACAAATGTCTCACATTAAAAGTCTCACAATAAATGTCTTACAACAAATGTCTCCCAACAAATGTCTTACAACAAAAGTCTCACAACAAATGTCTCACAACAAATGTCTTACAACAAATATCTCACAACAAACGTTTTCAAGAAGCGTCTCAAAAACAAATGTCTCACATTAAAAGTCTCACAATAAATGTCTTACAACAAATGTCTCCCAACAAATGTCTTACAACAAAAGTCTCACAACAAATGTCTCACAACAAATGTCTTACAACAAATATCTCATAACAAACGTTTTCAAGAAGCGTCTCAAAAACTAATGTCTCACATTAAAAGTCTAACAACAAATGTCTCACAACAAATGTCTCACAACAAATGTCTCACAACAAATGTCTTACAACAAATATCTCACAACAAACGTTTTCAAGAAGCGTCTCAAAAACAAATGTCTCACATTAAAAGTCTCACAATAAATGTCTTACAACAAATGTCTCCCAACAAATGTCTTACAACAAAAGTCTCACAACAAATGTCTCACAACAAATGTCTTACAACAAATATCTCATAACAAACGTTTTCAAGAAGCGTCTCAAAAACTAATGTCTCACATTAAAAGTCTAACAACAAATGTCTCACAACAAATGTCTCACAATAAATGTCTTACAACAAATGTCTTACAAGCTAATGATCCGTGGACCGAGAACATCTTGGTACTTGACGACGTACGACCATGACCTTGTCACGGCCTTGATGTGTTTGTCGTCGATGTCCAGACGCTCTGGTCGCCTTTTCAACTTGGGTTTTTCTGGCCAGACATTTAGACATGCCAAATAAGTCGTGTGTTAATGTTAAAGTTAGGAGTTGCATGGTCGATTTTACCTGCCTCTTTAACATCGACATATGAAGGGATAATTTGGTCAGCACTATGCCCAGTCGCCTTTACTTTCCCTAATGTGAGTCAGGTACCCATCAAAGTTTGGTCGAGTCGGTAAAGCTCATGGTTGCTAAACCAAAAAGTCACGAGTTCGAACCCTCGGGCAGATGAGGCTGTGGACAGCAACTTTTCTAGGAGAGACAAATTTTCTAGGAAGCAAATCCAAAAAGTAAAGCAGACTAAAATCGGAGTCAACGGCATCAGTAAACAGTAGTCACATATACTTAGTGCTGCTGGGGGGAATCCCTTCCAACACTCACATTAAGAACGAAGACGAAACATCTAAGACTTGACACATTTGTTTCCTTTTATCTCAACGAAAAATAAAATGACCAGGACTTATTTCTTCCAAATATATAGTAACGTAAGCACTATATCTTCCAAATATAACGTAATGTAAGCATTCGAAATGTATGCACTTATCCTTCCAAACAAAATGAAATGTACGCACTTTTTTAATCCAAAAAATACGACAAAACAAGAAGAAATGTATGCACTTATTTCTTTTAAACAAGATTAAATGTATGCACTTATCCCTTCCAAACAAAACAAAATCCACGCACTTTTTTCTTCCAAATATAAAGAAATGTACGCACTAATTACTTCCAAACAAGAAGAAATGTACGCACTAATTTCCTCCAGATGGTGGTCCACTGTTGGCTTGAGTTTGACGGTCCTTTGTTTTGTACAGCGCTTGCTCCCCTTGTCCAGCTCGCCGCACTGTTTGTTCAGGAGTTTGGTCAGTCGGTCCGCTGCATGTTCGGCGGCGACCCTGGTCCAACCAACACAAACAATGTTTACATTTAAAACCTCACTCGTTAGGCAGATTCTCACTGTCTTGTAGACTTACAAAATGAAGCTAAATTGTAAATCAGGGTTAATGTCGTGTTATAATATAGGTCTAGACTTTTAAAGACAAAACACCACAAAATAGAAAAGGTTCTACTAATTCTCGATGGTCCGAGGCCCTAGATTAGGGTGCCCAATACCTGATGATAGTTCATGACTGGCACATAGCTTAGTAATACGTGATCTAGACTAGTTCGTGGCTCTATCTAAATCGCAACCAACCACATAAATAAAACAAAAGAGTGAATGGTATACAGATCTAGATGACAGTATGCGCACACCTGCGAATGTCCGTGTAGGACAGAGGTAACGGTCCTAGATAATCTCCGAAGCTAAGTTTCATCTTCTTGTGTCCAGCCATCTTTAACACACAACCCACGTTCAGAGATTGTGCTAAACTGTGCTGAGTTATCTCATAGTAGGATTAAACGGTGCGGAGTTATCTCATAGTGGGCTAAACTGTGCTGAGTTATCTCATAGTGGGCTAAACGGTGCGGAGTTATCTAATAGTGCGCTAAATGGTGCGGAGTTATCTAATAGTGCGCTAAATGGTGCGGAGTTATCTAATAGTGCGCTAAATGGTGCGGTCTTCATAAAGTGCGCCAAATGGTGCGGTCTTCATAAAGTGCGCCAAACGGTGCGGTATTCACAGAGTGCGCTAAACGCTGTGGTTTTGTTTTTGAGCTGAAGCGAGATTTCTCGGGATATTGAAATGAATGTGACATCAAACAACGCGCGTTTAGATACATTAAAGTAGTAAAGACGGGACACCAATAAGTCAGGAACACAACAGAGGTAAACAAAAAAGTCGGTCACGCCGCAGAATGAAACAAACTACATCTTCCAAGACCAAGGTACGGATTGTTTTCTAATTAAACCACAAAGGTTGGGTTTATGACCAGGGGGGGTCTTTATCGCAGGGTGGGAGGGTGGGGGTGGGGGCAATCCCTGAAGGTGTCGGTCGGAGGGAAATCCAGGGGGTTATTGTCCGTTTTTGTGTGTCTGGAAACCAGTCCTGATAACGACTAATCGTGCTTTAGGTGTATAGCAGATTTTAAATAACAAATTATAAATAACAAATTTTAAATAACAACTTATAAAATAACAATACAAAGCCCTTAACGTCAAACAAACCTGACGTTGTTGGATACAAGAGGTCACGTGGTCGCCACTTGACCCGCAGCTCACGTACTTTAAAACAGGGATAGTTCGTTTCGTCAGTGGTTTCATCATGTTAGAGAACAGCTCATTGTTTAAAACAGGGATAGTTCGTTTCATCAGCGGTTTTATTCAGTTAGAGAACAGCTCATTGTTTAAAACAGGGATAGTTCGTTTTGTCAGTGGTTTCATCCAGTTAGAGAACAGCTCATTGTTTAAAACAGGGATAGTTCGTTTCATCAGCGGTTTTATTCAGTTAGAGAACAGCTCATTGTTTAAAACAGGGATAGTTCGTTTTGTCAGCGGTTTTATTCAGTTAGAGAACAGCTCATTGTTTAAAACAGGAATATTTCGTTTTGTCAGTGGTTTCATCCAGTTAGAGAACAGCTCATTGTTTAAAACAGGGATAGTTCGTTTCATCAGCGGTTTTATTCAGTTAGAGAACAGCTCATTGTTTAAAACAGGAATATTTCGTTTTGTCAGTGGTTTCATCCAGTTAGAGAACAGCTCATTGTTTAAAACAGGGATAGTTCGTTTCATCAGCGGTTTTATTCAGTTAGAGAACAGCTCATTGTTTAAAACAGGGATAGTTCGTTTCGTCAGTGGTCTCATCCAGTTAGAGAACAGCTCATCGTCGGCTGTTGTGTCTGTTGGTCCACTCGCTAGCAATGAACAGAAAGTTTGAGATGCAGGCCTATTAGTGAAAATAAATAAGTGTTCCACACGAATTCCCATTTTAAAATTTTAATTCAATTGCTTCAAACGCTTTACACTAACCTAGTGATAGGCAACCTGCTTTCCTACACTACATAGACATTGTTTTAATATTAAGGCTTCTAAAATTGTATTTATGGAGCGGCCATTTTAAAAGAGGAACAGCTGTTTGTCCGGTGGGCGGATCGGTATTTGTTGAATGAGTCACGTGGGGTTGTGTGGCCGCAGGTTGTTGACCCCTGGCTTATCCGACTAGCATCGCACGTGAGACTTTGAGAACCGCTGGTGTAGACTTTGCTCGTGACCGGATGGGGACTGAAGTAGAGAGTACTTAGACTGCAGTGGAAGGTCCAAACAAACATTTTCTTTACTCGTCTGCAAGTAGGTATCGTCGTATCGTGTTGTGGACGAAGACGATAAAAAAAATCTGACAGGACGTTAAATTTGTCAAACAAATATGGAGTTATTTCGCTTGATGGTGGCGGTGATTGGGGTCTCCGTAGCCTCGGCCTTTTTTTTCCGTAGCGGCACGCCAGTGGCCACAGCAGACGACAGAGGTATGGCTTTGTTTTCTGATTGGTTCGTTGATTTCTGTAGAGCTGCTTTTGTTTAGACTATGTAATAGAAAACTCGAACACACAGAAAAGTGTTAGATTGCTTCTAATGTTGTGTACTTGCATTTAGTACCAAATCCCTATAGTGTAAAACTTATTATAGACCCGCTTTTTTTCGGAGTTTTAGAGCTAAGTATATAATTAGGTATATTATTAGGCAGTGGCGTAGCCAGGATCGTCTCAAGGGGGGGGGGGGGGTTCCAATTTTTACCCGGGGACAAACTTTCGATTTGCACCCCCCCCCCCTCAAACTTTTGATTTGCATCCCCCTTAAACTTTCGATTTGCACCCCCCCCCCTCATACTTTTTATATATACCGAGGGGTCTATGGGGAGGTTATGACCCCCCCTAACCCCCCCCCCCTGCCTACGCCACTGTTATTAGGTATATGGGTGAAGTAAATATTTTTGTGTTCAAACCCTTTTATTTTGGTTCGTACTACTCAAAATAAATGAAACGTGAAATATTTGAGGTAAGCTTATCCAAGAACTATCTGTCATGTCCAACTTGTTTTATATAGAACCATTAAACATCTGAGAACTATCTGTCATGTCCAGCTTGTGTTATATAGAACCATTAAACATCTAAGAACTATCTGTCATACCCAGATTGTGTTATATAGAACCATTAAACATCTGAGAACTATCTGTCATGCCCAGATTGTGTTATATAGAACCATTACACCGTGTTTCCATTCCACCAAGCAGAAGTGGAGGAGTCGTGTTTGGCCCTGGCTGACGCGGGAAGCTGTGATTTCTACACCTGCTTCGAGCGCCGCCTGCCGTGTGGACGAGAGTGGTACATCCTGAAAACTGGCCACTACTACTGCAACAAGATGCAGAGACACAAGAACAGCTTTACGCCAGAGGTGGGTCTTGAGTCGGACTTTTTAAATTTTTAAATTACTTCTCCGGTAACGGTTGCGCGATATTGATATTTAACTAATCAATAAACACCATGTTAAAAGCTAAATAAAAATATATTTAAGCTAAAAACTATATCCTCCGCCTCCAAAAACAAACAATTAACGACTAGACGCGTCTATGATTGTTGTTTTAAATGACAGCGTACCCCCGAGTTTAACCTAATGTAAATAAAACCTTTCATCTAAACCCCAGGGCCAAACTTTTATTGACGACGCCCAGCGCTGCTTGACCCAGTCCTTGAAGGAAGTCTACAGGAGGGAATACATTGACTGTCACACTCTGGAACATCAGGCAATCGAATCCATATCCACCTGCTTCATAGGTAGTCTATATATATATATATATATATATATATATATATATATATATATATATATATATATATATATATATATATATATATATATATATATATATATATATATATATATATATATATATATATATATATACAAATACATACATATACATATAATGTACATGCCCTATACACTTTGGCTGTATCTACTATAACTATGTTTAAAGGTGTAATATTTAGCTAGAACAAAACTATGACATGATAAAACGAACCAAATTTGCCAACAAAGTGTCAGCTTTCATTGAGTGAGATTGACCTTTTGTTTTTGCTCACCCCCACAGAGAACGACTTCTGTGACGTGCTCCAGGCTAACGCCGACAAATTCTTCCGTGTCTACGAGTTCTCAGACCTGTTTACACAGGGGGCCGGCAAGTAAGTGACGCAATTTTGTTGGGGGAGGGGGTGGGGTTTCCACATCCCTTAAACTTTTACACCCCTGACCTTTCTCTGTCCTATCACATGCTTGACACTTCACGTTCTGACCTTTACGCGACCTATCACATCCCTGACTTTACTCTGCCCCATGACCTCCCTGACCGAACTCTGCCCCATCACATCCCTGACCTTACTCTGCCCCATCACATCCCTGACCTAACTCTGCCCCATCACATCCCTGACCTAACTCTGCCCCATCACATCCCTGACCTTACTCTGCCCCATCACATCCCTGACCTAACTCTGCCCCATCACATCCGTGACCTTACTCTGCCCCATCACATCCCTGACCTTACTCTGCCCCATGACCTCCCTGACTTTACTCTGCGCCATGACATCCCTGACCTAACTCTGCCCCATGACCTCCCTGACTTTACTCTGCGCCATGACATCCCTGACCTAACTCTGCCCCATCACATCCCTGACCTAACTCTGCCCCATCACATCCCTGACCTTACTCTGCCCCATCACATCCCTGACCTAACTCTGCCCCATGACATCCCTGACTCTGCCCCATCACATCCCTGACCTTACTCTGCCCCATCACATCCCTGACCTTACTCTGCCCCATCACATCCCTGACCTAACTCTGCCCCATCACATCCCTGACTTTACTCTGCCCCATCACATCCCTGACCTTTATACGACCTATTACATCCCTGACCTTACTCTGCCCCATCACATCCCTGACCTAACTCTGCCCCATCACATCCCTGACCTAACTCTGCCCCATCACATCCCTGACCTAACTCTGCCCCATCACATCCCTGACTTTACTCTGCCCCATCACATCCCTGACCTTTATACGACCTATTACATCCCTGACCTTACTCTGCCCCATCACATCCCTGACCTAACTCTGCCCCATCACATCCCTGACCTTACTCTGCCCCATCACATCCCTGACCTAACTATGCCCCATCACATCCCTGACCTAACTCTGCCCCACCACATCCCTGACCTAACTATGCCCCACCACATCCCTGACCTAACTCTGCCCCATCACATCCCTGACCTAACTCTGTCCCATGACCTCCCTGACCTAACTCTGCCCCATGACCTCCCTGACCTAACTCTGCCCCATCACATCCCTGACCTAACTCTGCCCCATCACATCCCTGACCTAACTCTGCCCCATCACATCCCTGACCTAACTCTGCCCCATCACATCCCTGACCTAACTCTGCCCCATCACATCCCTGACCTAACTCTGCCCCATCACATCCCTGACCTTACTCTGCCCCATCACATCCCTGACCTTACTCTGCCCCATCACATCCCTGACCTAACTATGCCCCACCACATCCCTGACCTAACTCTGCCCCATCACATCCCTGACCTAACTCTGTCCCATGACCTCCCTGACCTAACTCTGCCCCATGACCTCCCTGACCTAACTCTGCCCCATCACATCCCTGACCTAACTCTGCCCCATCACACCCCTGACCCTAACTGTGAACACATCACCAGAGTCTGGAGGCAGATCGTCAGCCTAGCCACTAGGTGTGGTGAGCAGACCCTCAGACAAGTCTCGTCCGGCACCATTGACAGGATCTCCACCTTCTTCAACTCTCTGACCAGCAGCTCGAGGAAATAAAATCTTGGGACACGGACAGACACAGAAACAATGTCACAAATTGTAGCACGTGGAATAGTTTCTGCTTGTAAATAAAACAATTGTATCGTTTTTATTTTATTTTAAACAAAGTTTTCTGCTTCGGAAATTCATAAGTAATCTGTCTTGTAACTTGGTCTGAGTGCTGCTCTGCAGAGATAATGCTCGACACTTCGGTACATTGGTTGAGTAAAAAGTTGAACCTAAACATAAAAAATCGAATCCCTACGCCGGAACAATAAAGCTCCTTAGCTGTTATTTCCCGTAGAACCCACTAAAATCTTCACACAAAAGAAAGTACGAACTATTGTAACTTGTAACTGTAAAAAGATAAATTTCGTGGCAATAAACAACTGTAAAATCTAGCACATTAACTAGATCTAGATATAACATTTGAAAAACTAAAAACATTAATTAACATACACGCGTGTAAACCACAAGTAAACTTTAATAACTGTGCAAATAGCTTGCAGTGTAAATTAGTTCAATTATTCAAAAATATTTTGATTAGTTTATTTATTTTAACGCCCCGAAATCGAGAAGTAAAACAGAATGTCCGGCCAACCATTCAACTTTGCATTTTAATTACAAATGGTTTCCTCCAATCATCGACAATAAAACAGGTAGTTAGCATATCACGTGACCAAGCGGTTCCTGCCGGACGTTACTCTGATCTTTACTTTACTGTTTTTCCACATTATAGCAAAACCAATTTACTTACATCATGAGATGTATGAAGCCACGTATTTTAACCATCTGCTTTTATAAAATAAATGAATAATAAATGTTACAATCTACCAGATAGCCTCAACAACCCTCGTTACTGATCGTTTTGAAAGTATTAATAATTTCGATGACTCCAATATGTTTGAACTAGCACGTCACGTGATGGCCAATTTGAAAGACCCACCAAGATGAATTGTTTGTTCGAGTAACATTATAAATTGTCCTTGCTACCCTACCGTCCCCCGTCCCCTTCACACCCATCCTAGCAGACGATTATTGCATAAAATATATCCATCCATCCACCTAAACAACCCCCCCCCCACCTAATTACTTTGCTGAAACACGATATTAGTCATCATACATCCATCATTAGACATGTTTACCTTAATTGTGTGTTCACACATTCAGAACCGGTACTCTAATTGTTTGTTCACATGTTTCTAAAATAAAAAATGGTACCTTAAGTTTGTATTCACACTCTAAAAACCTGAAGCCAAATATTGTGTTTACACATTTGAGAGTTGCCTCGCTTTTTCCCTTCCATAAGTCTAAATTTCACTTTCTCTTGACGAACCCCGCGACTTGAAGCTACAGAACTAGCTGAGAAACTTGATGGCGTTGCTGGGTTTTTCACTGTTGGGGGCAGACGTACGGTCGATGTGGAAACAAAACCTATTGCCCGTGTCCCCAGTGGTCCAGTGAAGAAACCCCATCTTGGAGATGAGGTCGATGACCACCGTCCAGGCCCGTTTGGTTTCTGGTGTCCAGATGGTGCTGAAGTATTCCTCCATGAAGGACTTGAAGGCTGACGTGCAGTTCTAGAGTTGGAACAAAGCATGGGGGCGGGGGAAATATAGTGGAATTCATAAATGGCAGAACACTCAAATCTATATATATATAATTCTCTTCTTGGAGACCCTAGAAAACACCAAGCTGTAAGCGCGCCTAGCAGTCCCTTCTCTTCCTCTCTAAGCATATCGCTGCCACCCTGTGATGGGGGGTTTCATATATATTATATCTTTTCTATATCTTTTCTATATTCTGATCTGCTACTATTCATACGTCAACTATTATACTTGTGAGTAGGACGGGAATCACTCTTATGTTCCGCAGACACTTATTAATAAAAGTCAACCACTTCGTTTATGAAAAGAACACTAACTTTATTAATACACACTTATTTGCACAATATCAAAGAATACATCCGTCTCCTACAATTACTAACCCCCAACTCACGTTACTGCCGCGGTCTACGTCATTGGTACATTGTCGTGTCATGCTCACGTCACATTCGCGCCACAAATATTGTATTCAACATGCGCACAATACTCTCGCACCAAATCGTCTACAGTCAAGTTCGCACCGTCCTTTGTAACCTCTACTAGTCGTCTAATTCTTTATATCTACGCTATGACATCTCCTCCCCCCCTACAATTAAAAAAACTAATACTATTAGTTTTTTTTTTTCTGTCTTCTTAGTCAATCATCGTATAAATACATAGTCATAGCGTCATCAATGACTGAATTACATTAACATTTCAATAGCAACAATTCCAGCATTCACATTTTCAAAAAAACAAACGACAACAATGTCATGCCGCATCTTGAACTGCCAGTAGAGAACTTTATCATCTGTATTGAAAAATTTACAAAATAAACGTCAGTCAATTTATTCTTTATCTTCGGTAAAGACTGTTCCACAAAAGTTTATCATCTGTGTAGACAAATTTACAAAATATACGTCACTCAATGAATCTTTATCTTCGGTAGAGACAGTTCCACAAAAGTTTATCATCTGTGTAGACAAATTTACAAAATATACGTCACTCAATGAATCTTTATCTTCGGTAGAGACAGTTCCACAAACGTTTATCATCTGTATAGACAGTTTTCCCTGTTATACTTGACGTCTAAATGTTCCCTTGAGCTTTATAAACACAAAACTTGGCAACACTGTGACTGAAAAACAAATATTTATAAGCTGAAGTTGCCGTTACGACTTGATCGAAAATTGACCGCGACCGTGCGTAAGGCTTTTGTTAGCTGGTTATGGTGACCCTTCTTGCCGTTACGACTTGGTCGGAAATTGACCGCGACCATGTGTAAGGCTTCAGTAATCTGGTTAGGATGACCCATCTCACATTGATTTGGTTCCTCTAGATGTGTTACTTGACGTGATCCTGCGGACGTGTCCTTGACGATGTGTTTCATATGTTCACGTTCATGATGTACTGTTCGTTTGACCGCTGCATTCATTTAAGCTGGGCATCAGTGCGTAGCATTCACGAAGATGACGTCAGATTCTGAGAAAATATGAGCGGACATGTCGTCTTAAACATATGCCAGCTAAGCGTTTTTGTGCCCGTCGGACAAATAACCTTCCTCTTTTAAAGAAAACCCCACCAAATTTTGATATGCTGGTTATTTGTCCACGACACACTACATAATAATAATAGTAACTACATTATTATAATTATCAACAAAATACCAACTACATTACTAAATCATTAACTACACACGACTAGCATTAAAATAGAAGAGATCTACTACACACAAAGAAAAGACATGTGTGTTGTATTGTGTGTCACATATCTGTAGTGCAGGAGCAGCTCTCTGCCTGTGACTGTGTAAGCTATATTTAGTTTCTTGACAATATGTCAGCCAGTCGGTTCTGTTTTCCCGGGATGGGAACAACTGTGAAATGATAGTCCTGTTTTAACAAGGTTATCAATCTTGGAGAGATCTTCATCACTAATCACATCTGGTTTCTCCAACACAATCTTGTCATTATTATCTTCAGCTTTTTTATCTTCATCTGTCTCCTCAACAGGGCATGTCATTTGTGTTAAATGCACCTCATTTCCATCTAAATCAACTTCATTTACAATGAAATCAGAGTACCTTTGTTTTATAACAGCACTAAAACCTTCATGTTCCCCAAGATATTCAGTAATTCCTGCTTGTATTTCATTAATAGGCACCTCTTTTTCGTGTATTTCGCTCTCTAAGTGGATACCATTTTTATTTTCAATACATTTTTCATTGTCTACAACTGTTGCAGGTATTTCAGCATCTTCTTCTTTGCAGGGTTTTTGTATGTTGTTACTTTCTCCAGAAGCATCTAGCTTTATTTTTTTACATGCAGGCTCATCAGTTGTAACATTTTCCGATGATAGATCCACTGATTCCATTGTACAGATTGGTGGGGCGGTAGCGATATGCCTAAGGAGCGGGGCCGCGGGTGGCTTAGAGGTATCTTGTGTTCTGCATATGTGACATGATTTAACATATGCAGATATGTCTTTGTCCATGCCAGGCCAGTAGAAAGCAGATTCTATTCGTTGCTTGGTCTTTGTTCTGCCCATGTGTGCTGTCAGTGGTAGATCATGAGCGTGATGTAATATCGCCTGGCGGTATTTCTGTGGAGCTACCAGCTGATTGACTGTTTTATCATTATCTGTGAATTTTCTAAACAATGTGTTGTCTCTTACAAAGAAGGAGTGTTCCTTTTTATTTTTTGACATGGTTACCGATTTCTTCTGAGCAAGTTTAAATATTTTGCTCAGCGATTCATCGTTATGCTGTTCTTGTTGGAATGATTCAGGGGACCAGGTCGTCTCTGTCACCACCGACTGTTTAGTCTCGTTGTTCACGGCCTGTTCTGATGCTTTACTTTCTTCTATAACTTTAGCAGCAGTTTGGGCCCTCGTTTCTACCAACTGAACTATTTCCGTTTGCAGCCACTTATCTATGTCACCTTGAGGTAGCGTCTGATTGTCAATCACATTGCCGATGATCAGGTCGTATGGTCCTTTATTAAAAACAACAGCGGCATATCTACCTGATATATATGGTGTGTGAACGTCTATCCGTACAGTAGGGTGAAGGGAAATTTTACCATCAAATCCCTGGACAGGTATATGTTTACCCGTATACTGGTTGGGATGTACCACACTGCTTTTGACGGCCAGTGTGCTGCAGCCTGTGTCCCTGATTGCGTTCACCACCTGTCCATTAACTCTACATTGGAAGCTCGGCAGTTTATGGTGTCCTATTGTTCTCATAAAATGAACATGCTCTGTTCTGTTGTAGTAGCGACCGTTCGCACTGTGTGCACGGAACTGATTATTATGTTGAAACGAGTTTGGTCTTCTGGCCTTCCTGCAGTCTTTTTTATAATGACCAAGGCCGTTGCAATAAAAACATCGTTTGTCCGACTGATGCATCTGTTGTTGTCTGTCGGGTTTGAACTGCATATGGTTCTTGTATTTACTTCTGTCCCTGCTTCCGTCGGCAACATGGGTCATGAATACTGAAGTTAATTCTGTCTCGTCGTACTTTTTACATACTGGATTTGTCGGGTGGGCCGCTATGAATTTCTGCGTCATTTCTGTGACAGTCTTTATATCTCTAGGTTTTCTTTCTTGTAAAAAGGAATATAAGTCACTGTGGACTGAATTTAATATTTTGTCGACCAGGACGAATTGGAATAGATCTTCATAAGTTTTGTTAATAGATGCTGCCTCAATCCATTTTTCCAGTGTAAGTTTTAAGTCATTAGTAAACACTTTGAAATCTTCATTTTTGTTAGGTTGAAGTTGGTGGAATTTTTGTCGGTAAGTTTCTTCTGTCAGGTGGTAGAATTCTAGTAGGGTCTTTTTTAATGTCTTGTAGTCTTTTATTTCCTCGTCAGTCAGGGTGTGGCAGGCGTCGAGTCCTCTTCCACCAACCAGGGTGAGCAGGTGTTGGCTCATCATATTGTCGGCTATGTTTTCTGACTTGGCGATCGTTTCGAACCGTCGAATAAAAGCATCTATGTCGTCTTTTTTGTCTTCAAATTTAGGCATTTTATATAGCATGCTTCTGGAAGAATTGGTTGTTGTTGGTGGTGCTTCAACCTGCTCTGCTTGTGTACTTTTTTTGTTGATTTCTAACCGTTTTAATTCAATTTCTTTCTCCATTTCTATTCTAGCCTTTTCTTTCTCAAGGTCTATTTTTGCCAATTCCAGTCTTGATTTTTCTTTTGTCCTTTCTTTGTCTTTTTCTAGCTCCAGTTTTCCACGTTCCATTTCAATTCTAATACACTTGTCTGCGTCTATTTGGGCCAACCGCTCTTTATCAGCCGTGATAGCTCTATATTTTTCTTCAACCCATGCCTCTAGCTCAGCGCCACTTTTTTCAAGCGTCTTGCCTAGCTTATACAACTGAGCGAGGTCAGTCATGGTGTGTGAATTTTAATAATTTGAATGAACGCACACAAAATAATCGTACACACAAAAATAACTAAAGTGTTATACAAACAGCGATAAACGGCACAGATAACTGACGCGATAATCACAACAATAATACAGGACCTACGGTAACAATAGAAGGTAGAGAACGGCAGTACAAACAGGACTTCTACATCTAATAGTAATATGTACTTCTTAAAAGGCAGGCCTACACTCAGTGTGTCCTATCGTTAGGAAGCCTCAGCCAATTTAAGAATAACAAACACGAAGAAGAAAAACTGCTGAATAACCAGCACAGGATCCAAACAATCCCGGTTACTTAAAAAAAATCAGAGGAAGGTACTTATCTTGCTTCCCTGCGATGATCTAGTAGCACCTCTGGTCAACACGAATCCGCTTCAAACTTCACAACTTTTCACTCGAATCCTTTTTAAAACACCACTTGCGGAATTAAGGACCACTTGTGCTCCACCAATATGTGATGGGGGGTTTCATATATATTATATCTTTTCTATATCTTTTCTATATTCTGATCTGCTACTATTCATACGTCAACTATTATACTTGTGAGTAGGACGGGAATCACTCTTATGTTCCGCAGACACTTATTAATAAAAGTCAACCACTTCGTTTATGAAAAGAACACTAACTTTATTAATACACACTTATTTGCACAATATCAAAGAATACATCCGTCTCCTACAATTACTAACCCCCAACTCACGTTACTGCCGCGGTCTACGTCATTGGTACATTGTCGTGTCATGCTCACGTCACATTCGCGCCACAAATATTGTATTCAACATGCGCACAATACTCTCGCACCAAATCGTCTACAGTCAAGTTCGCACCGTCCTTTGTAACCTCTACTAGTCGTCTAATTCTTTATATCTACGCTATGACACACCCAAATCCCCACATGGTCTGGTGAGCTGTGGTTCACGCTAAATGTTTACAATCGTAGAGACGGGTATAGTGACGGCTATTAGGGGCAGATAATTTAGTTCGAATATTTTAAACTTAGGGGAGGTAACTAAGAGGAGGCTGCTTTAACGAGGGGGGTAGGGGAAAGGAGGGTTTTAGTGTTTTAAAGCAAATATTTTCAGTGGCAGCATTGATACTGTCGAATTCACAAATTATGAATTACTGAAAAGTAGAAAAAACAACAACTAAATAGCGGCGTATGATACGCCGCGGGTCGGCTCGTATTAAATATTATATTTTCTATAGAACACCCAAAAAATTAAACTAGAATTAATTAACGTTTCGAAAATGAATAATTGGAAATTGGGAACTTTGGTTTTCTGTACCACCCTGTTGTTCGCGTCTCAACCCATTATTAATTTGCCCAGTTAATAAGAGAAGCATCCAGAGGTGCATGAAAAAATATGTGATATGTTCCTACAGTAATAGACCTACGTGGTGCATTTTACAGCTTGGTGCAAAATTATTACCTTTACATTCGTTAAACGTAACCTAACCATAACCTAAGCTAAAGCCATAATTAAATGTGTGGTTGAAATATCGTGATTTGCGATGCGAGTAGACTTGTTTACTAATCGACTAGTAATATGTCCATTAGCCTAAACCTTATATTGATAGATTACACACATTTTGATGAATTCAAACTTTTGAATAAGGCGTTTACTTACCTTTACTGTTTCCTGTTTGAATCCTGACATGCGCATCAGATCGAACTTCCGTTTGACGATAGACTCGAGGGCAATCTGGCTGGTCAGACTAAACACAATATCAGAGATGTGCATGATCAGGCGCTTGCCGTAGCGAATGACGCGGGGGTTGAGGCGGCAAGCCAGTAGGTCGTTCGTTCTTGTCCCTCTTCGGATTGTTTCAAGCACCTTCTCATTGGACACATTTTTCATCAAGCTAAAATAAGCAGAAAATCAAATGGCCTGTCACAATAATTTATAGCATCTGTTTATGCGTATATTTAGGGCACACGTGTAGGCTATTGTGTGTGTGTGTTCAGTAAGATCAAGATGCCATTACAATTAGCAGTGGCGTACTAGGGTATTTACTGCTTGGTGCGCCCTTGTCGATGCTGCCCCACCCCTAGGATACAGTGCTTCATTACCTGAAAACCTAGTACTGATTTGTGAGAAAGAAGTATTTCACTGACATTGAAATATGTTCGTGTTTTATTCCATCATACAATTTTTTTTTCAAAAATCTCGTTTTGCATAGTCATTTTAAAATAATAATAAAACTGTGATACATTTTTACCAGCGTACACATGTTTAAGTTTAAAACAGAACAGTTTTTTAAAAAAAAAACACAATTTAAGCAGAGGCGTAGCGACCCTTCCCGGCGCCCGGGGACATACTTTCAATTTGGCGCCCCCCTCGGGAACAAATTTTCGATTTGCACCCCCCCTCGATCTTTTCATTTGCACCCCCCCCCCCTCAAACTTTCGATTTGCACCCCCCCCTCGAACTTTTCATTTGCACCCCCCCCTCAAACTTTCAATTTGGCGCCCCCCTAAGGTCGGCGCCCGGGGACATATGTCCCCCGCCCCCCCCCCCCCTCTCGCTACGCCTCTGAATTTAAGTAGAATCTAAAACGATTTAACAAGGGAAAACTTCGGCTCACTGTACAAGGAGTCGCATCCCCCATATGTCGATTGACCTGAGAACCTCACGCCATGACCTGACGATCAGTTGTAGCTGGTTGAGGGTTAATCCCGGAAGTAAACTTAAATAGGAGCTTTGTGTGACATTCAACTGGCCTGTGGGGATCGGAGAGTTAAAATGTGTCATTCTATTTATTTGTTTGTGGCTCTTGTATAACTCAGTACTAAAAATGATAGAGAATGTTTTAATGTACTCTATACTAATTACTAAATTAGAATTTAAATCGAACATTCTTAATGTGGTCCCGTTAAAATTGTAACACTAAAAATGATTAATAAATACACAAGTTTAAAAAATTAAGTTGCCGTGTTTTTTTATTACTTGTAGATCTAGTTTAAAAAAATGTTTTGCCCCGCCATTTTACGCGCAACTGCGTAAAAAATTAACGAAAGTGGCGGCATAAACAATTTTGAAAGGGATGGGGGACAATTATTTTTATTACAAAATATGGTTGGCCATAAAAATCAAACACATTTCAACAAATGAAAAAAACATTTACCGGTGCTTAATGAAATACAATACGCATTTCACTCAATGTTTATTATTAACCAGTAACTGTAATGTAAACCTATTGACAATACCTTTTAATAAGATCTTTTAATTTCCTTGAAATGTTAAAGGTATTATCTAACAGTTACGATAATGTAAAACTACTGACAATACCTTTTTTAATGAGATCTCTGGGCTGCCTCTGGAGAAGCATAGTAAGTCTTTCTTTAGCCTTGATTGCCGCTATCCTGTGAACACACACGTCTCATTGTAACTATGAAATAATATTTTTAAAGGAATCACAAGCTTATCTATGTAAGCATTCGCTGTGGGCCATTGTACAGGCATAAACTATTAGACGTAGCTGGGTGACGATGTGTAGCTAAAAGCAATCTCATTTTGTTGTAGACAATTTATTTTGTTATTTAAAAAATAATAATATTAGCCGAAATGTTTAACTATTATTTCGATAAAAATGATTCTATTTAGGGCGGTTCTCTATCAAAGCCGGCGATCCATATGGCGAATGAAGGGATAATGTGGTCAACACTATGCCTCATGTGGTCAACACTATGTCTCATGTGGTCAACACTATGTCTCATGTGGTCAGCACTATGTCTCATGTGGTCAGCACTATGTCTCATGTGGTCAACACTATGTCTCATGTGGTCAGCACTATGTCTCATGTGGTCAGCACTATGTCTCATGTGGTCAGCACTATGTCTCATGTGGTCAACACTATGTCTCATGTGGTCAGCACTATGTCTCATGTGGTCAGCACTATGTCTCATGTGGTCAGCACTATGTCTCATGTGGTCAACACTATGTCCCATGTGGTCAGCACTATGTCTCATGTGGTCAGCACTATGTCTCTTCCCTTTACTGACCATATCGAGACTGGGTAGACCCAAACCTGTTATACAAGCTCGAGACTTTCATGTTAGCAGTAGTACGCCCTACCAGTCCCATCCGACCACGCCGTCCCTTTTAATATCAATTTGTTGATAACATTTTCGTATCACGAATAAAAAGTAGTCCTACGGCTGGGTGTCAATATTGTTATAATATTGATATAACGTTGCAGACGACAGTAACAAAACAAATATGTCAACATCCTCTCGCTAATCGACTAGAACCTCATTATCTAAGACTTGTTGATCTAATCGCAGTGTCTTGATCTACTCACTTCCGTGTGTCGCTGAAAGAATAGCTCAACATTTCTTTGTTGTCCCACATAACACACACATCGATCGGTTTACTCGCTTTACTAACATTACTTTTATGGGTTGTCATTAGCTCACTGCTGAGTGTGTTCGATTTCATGTTAGACATCATGCTGAAACATCAATGGAACTTCTCCCATGCTAGTCTTAAAAAAATTGGTGGAATAGCTTTTGGATCACAAAATATCAAATTTAGAGCGGTATCGGTGCCCGGTAATTTCCGTAGTTTTCTTGCGCATGATTCTCTGGTAATGTTGATGTTATTGTATTTGTACCAGGCTTGTAAAAACTAAAACAAGGTGTGGAATAGATGGGTCGATTGAATGATAATATATAAATCTAGTCAGTGTTTCTTCCAGACTTTTTCCTCCTGGGGGCACTTGAAATTTTCGGGGGGGGGGGGGGCGGAAACTGTTAAAAGTATATATTTTCTATATAAATTTCATTTCGTTCGGGGGGGGGGGCGGTAGAGATGCCTGGAAGAAACTGTAATTATGTTATGGCCAAAACCCGAAGTGTGGGCACATGGGCCGGCTTTCCTCGCCAATGTCCCTAGAGTTTAAAATTAACAGCGTATTTCATACACATTTCATCTTATAATGCCATGTTATATAACTCGAAACTATGTAATTTTTAACCAAACCACAAACTTTCTATAACAGTTTTGAAGACCCGTCACCCCCATAATATTTACCACGTCACCTGCCCCTCCCGCACACAAATCCCAATAAAAAGTGTCTTTGACTTCATCCCTCTGTGCATTGCCCAGGTATAATGTATGAGAGTATGTATGTAAACAGAATTTCTTCCAGACAACTCGCTCCCCTCCCGGAAAATGTTGTCTGCCCCCCCCCCCCTCCCGAAAATATCAGAGCCCCCACCCCCGGAGAAAAACGTAGAAAAAAGTCTGGAAAAAACACTGTATGTAAGAATGTGTCAGTTTGTGTATAAGTGTGTGTATGTGTGTATCAGTGTGTTAATGTGTGTGTATGTGTGCATATAAGAGTGAGCATAATTGAAAGTGTGCGTATGTGTTTGCGTGCGTGTGTATGTTTTTTAAAATATTTCAGAGTGTGTATGCGTGTTTTTTTATGAGGGGGGGGATATATTGACTAGGTTCTATTATTATTTTTTTTTGCATAATGTACATGCAAATGTAGAACCACCATTTGATATAAAAAAAATAAGTTCGTTTGAATTCAAAACAGCAAGGAAAACCAAACAATAGCTTGGTTAATCAACCGTTAATCTTAGCAGAGATAATTAATTACTGTGCTTTGATAGAGAACTTTAAAGTTTAACTTTCTCTATAATAAAATTAAAGCATGTTGATTGTCTCTGCCACATTTAAACATACTAATGCAAAGCAGACAAAGAAACTTAACCATCGTCGACTAAAAGAATGTGATGGTATTGAAGTTGACGGAAAACACAAACTAAATGTCATCGAAGTTTTTTCTTATGTCAAAGATCTTCTGATTGTTTATCCATTGTTAATTAACATACGGATTATCTATCTAAAATTGCAATCTCCAAACAAATTTTAATTTGGCTTTATCAGTTTAAATTATATCTGGGCCATATAGGTATATTTCCGGCAAAACCTTGGTTGAAGTAAAAATTAAAAACATTGATTCTGTGGCAGGGTATCGTCACGTCAAATAAATAAGTAGATCTAAGACTAGTCCAAGTCAAAGACAAAGATTCATATTTGTAGATCCCAGATCCATTTTTCTTTTAAAAATTAGATGTAAGATTTATCGTCTAGAATCTAGATCTATCATTTGTTGTACGAGAGGATTTGAGCAGTTTTAGTTTTGAGTTGTTGTTTTTTTTATAGGCGACTGAGTTCAATTTTAAGTCTTTAAGCCGAGACGTCTAGATCTAGAGCAAATTACATTGTCCGAACACTACGTGGGACCGAACACTTCGTCGGTTTTTGGCTCATAGAAACTTTAATTAGCATGTCTCATGCGAAACCACGGCGCCTGCACGTAAACTGTTCATTTATGAACACTTCCGTGTCAAGTACTTCCGTTTCCTCTCTCAAGAATTATTTTTAGAAAATTTTTAACGTTGCATGGTACGCACATTTCTATTTTTACACCAGCCGGATGAAGTGACCTAGGGTTGGACTTAGGGGCAAAACTTGAACCAATCAACGCTTAGCTAAAAGGTTACACTATAAATAGCTTCTATATATGTATGGAACATCGTAAATGTCAAGGTTAATGGGTTATTTTGTGCTTGAACAATAAAAAAGGGGTGTTCGCTAACTTTTTTGACCTTACATGGGACCGGACAGCAACACAAAAATATTATTAAATAAGAATTTAGAGCATAAAAGGGGCTGGTTATTGAAGGGAAAGGGTCAAAATAAGGTCAAGAAGGCAGTGGAATGCGAAAGAGGAGGGGGAATCATGTGATCTGGCTGGCTTAGCAGCGTACTGCGCGAGCCGCAATGGCTGAATGGGATGAACTTTGGGAGTGTGGGAAAAAGGTTTTATACTATTAAAATTACCTCACAAACAATCAATAACACAATATACATGCATATAATATATGTTTTTATTCATTAAATTGACTTTAAATTATTCTAAATGAACAAAAAGTGCTTTGTCCGATGACGGGTAAAGGTGTCCGAACACATTTGAAATTGTATTACATGTGTCCGAACACATGTTAAGACCCCCCAGTCACTATAACAAGAATAGCTAAAGTTCTATGCGTATGAATACAAAATGACACGCACATTATTAAAGTAGAATGATTGCGGATAGATATGATACTTTTTTTTCCTTCCTATGTTAAGCGGTTACTGAATGAGACCGCATGGAAGTTTTAAGTTGCGTTTTTTCGCGGTGTGTGTCCGGACAGTGTAATTTGCTCTAGATCTAGATTTAGATCTAGTCTAGATGATAAGATTAGATCTAGACTATTTTAAATTTGTCGACGAAATTGGATGCATTGACCTGGCTGATGCAGTTTGCAAAAAGAAAAGAAATAATAAATTATTAAAATGGGTCAAATAATTTAGATCTGCACTCGTGAGCGGAACTCCCAATTTCCATTAGGCGCTATTTAATGACCGTTTCACATACAAACAAACCGAAAGTATCCTGTAAGTCTACATCCATTCTACTATATTAGGTATGAGTCATATTGTATTCCTACGCATAGCATTGGAGATAATTCAAATTATGGAGGTGAACCACCTCGGCAATCACTTTTTTTTTTGTTATTCTTCTTGCAGTCACTTGCGCTCACTTGACCCAGATCGATCCAGATTGTGCTCAGGGCTTATTTTATTCATTTAGACTATTTAGAGTCTGTTAAAAGTTAATTAAACAAATAAAATAACCATTATATGCTGCATATTTTATGTGTAGGCCTATACTGTGTTATAAGTATGTTTAAATATTTCAATGATCCTTATTCAGCCTACCCATTATGCCGAGCAAGTCACGTGACCCACTTATCCTACCTGGAAGCTTGCCTGGTCACATGACTCCCGCTGAGCCTGTCAGGTCCAAAGAACCTTATGGCAAACTAGGTCATGCTTTTCCCCATCCTTCCAGTGATCTAATTAACATTTTTAAACCAAATTCCTATTTAATAAGCAATATTCTGAGTAGTGAGCGCAGTCTGGGTAAGAAAACCAATAGGGACCAAAAATCATGTAATCGCCCCTTTTTTCTAATTTTAGAAGAGAAAACCCTATCAACCTTGACATGTACAGTTAGCTGAATGTATCTAGAAGCTATTTTTAGTGTTACATTTTATCTAACTGTTGATTGGTTCAAGTTCTGAAGCTAATCCCGAACTCTGTCGGTACATCCGGGAGAGTGTGAAAGGAGAAAATGTGTACCATGCAATTTTTAAAAAATTATAATCAATTTTCAGAAAAACGAAATAGCATGAACTATACATAGAAGTGTTCAGAAATGAAAATATGACGTGCCAAACACTGCGGTTTTGCATAAAACATTAAAATAAAGTAGCTATAGCCGAAAACGTGACTTAACGTGAGTGCGATCGCAGCGTTGTGCATGGTGCAGATCGGACGGCCACTCAGATCTACTTTACTAATTACTTCTTAGGGCCTAGTGTAACTTTAGAACTTGATTATCATTATTTTTATAAAATGAAATATAAATCTAAGGTTTATCTAAGGTCAAGGTACTAGACAAGTTAACTAGACTAGTTAAGTTTTAGTAGAGAGTAGTAGAGTAGGCTAGTTAAAGTAATTATTACTAGGCCTAATTACAAATTAATATAATAAAAAATAATAGATCTAGATACTAGATAGCCCTATTATTTTATCATTTAATGAAATGAAAATTAACTAGGCCTTAATGCTAATCCTAGCCCTGGTCTAGATTGGGAAGATATATTCTGATATTCCCAAAATTAATAAAATAATATTGGTTGGATAAGAGCCTTGTATTTAGAGTCACCTCTTGCAGAATGATCCCCCTGTGTGGCATCAATCAACCGGTGGGCTTGTTGCATTTAGTTAAATCTGACCTAATAATATATAAATAATAAAAGAACAACTATCTCCATACCTAGGCTGGAATTTTTATACTAAGGCGTGTTACGTTACTGGTAGTTTATGTTAACTACAGATAACTTGTTAATGAAATATTCAGTGCTAACCCAACCCTAGTCCTACCATACGCCTAAACCTAATTTCTAACCATATATTTAGTTGAGATAACAATACTATGACCACACCTACTTTCGGAAGAGTCTTAATTGGACATTGGTGTCTTCAATGATCCCTACCTAGAGTTACACCTTAAATTAATTCATGTTCAAATTCACTAGGCTAAATATTTTAGCAATGTTTATTTAGGAAAAAGACCTATAGACCTAATTTGTTCGGTATGTCAACCCTCCTTTGACAGTCTTGGTACTGGGGCAATCTTCCTGAAGCTTGATCCCTGCAGAGTTAAAAAATATTCAAGATTTGCTGCCAATTATATTTTTAAATGGGCCTATTGCATTAAAATTGATTACCCTTGAGCAAAGCAATATACAAATTCCAAACATTATCACACGTGTGACAACTTACTTGCTTCAGGGGCAGGCATAGATCATCATATAGGCCTATATTAAACTTATTACTGTTGTCTATTTGAAGTACTTTGTCTAACAGTGATTTGTCTGTCATTTTTAAAAATAACACATTTAATTTGTAGTAGTAGGCATATTGCATATTTATAATTACTTAGCTGAAAACCTATGATGTTTTGTGTTTTAAATGGAAATAATTAAAAAATACATATGCCTATAAATAAGCCCCAGTCGGGTTAACAAAATTTTCATTTAAATTTTGTGCTTTATTTTTATAAAGGTTTTTGAGCATAACTGGGAATATTATTTATTTAACTATTGAAAGTATTAAAAAGTTTGAAGATTTGTGTGGCTAGCAGATCTATTTTATTTTTATTAACAAATTTATATTAGGCCTAATACTAAACATTTTTCAATAAATCTAGGTCTGTGAATGTGGAGCAAGTCAAAGTTTATTTTACTATGCCTCCTACTTATAATCTGTATCAGATAGTATACTTACACAGAACTAATAAAAACCATGCATAGGACATATTGTTCATCAGAATGAATGAATTTATGAATAATGATCATATAATAGAAAAGACAAGTCATTTTAGTGCTTATTCTTTGATGAATAAGTCAGTAATGTCAGAAGATTTAGCTCAAATTGAGCCCAACTCAAGCAATGAGACAGGATTGCATTGTAGCAGAGGAGCCTTGACTGGATTTTTGGGACTATTTGTTCAAGCAGTGCTTGCTTTTCTTGCCTTCACATCCCTCATAGGTAAAGTATTTTAATCACTAATGTAAAATACAATAGACAATGACATCTGCTTGAAAGCAATGTTCATTACCATAGCAATAGCCTAATTATACATGGTTGTGAATCTGTTGTATAGGACTTATTTCTGTTAGGGCGGCAAGTTTTGCAATTTTTTTTAAACTAAGAAATATTGTATCCTTTGTAAAATAAATTCTGAAATAATGTAGAGATGGCTTTAAAATTGTACGATTAATTTTGTTGTGATTATTGTCATAATTTTTATCCATAGTAAAAAAGCAACAATATATTTCTATTTAGATTATGTTTTTGTATAGGTATAAGCATAGTATATTTTGTGTCATATTTCTGTATCTGAAAATTTGCATGAAATTGTGTTTGATTGATCTATGTTGAAACTTTTCTTCAGTCAAGAGATATTGTGAGCCAAAACCTTCAAGACGACCATGGATGATATGGTATGTATGATAGTTGTATATTCAGGTATCAGTGTAATAATATGCATGAATGATTCACTCATGTTTTACCCAATTTTTTTTTTTTTTTGTTGTAAGGTTTTTTGACACTTCAAAACAAGGAGTTGGTGCTGCTGTTCTACATTTTGCCAACCTGTTTTTGTCTGATGTTTTTCAAGGTGACCCATGCACATGGTAATTATGTTCATATTAATGTAAAGCTTTAATTTCCTAATTTCATTACTTATGCAGTCATACATTTTTTTATGTATTGTTCTGCAATTGTGATTTACTTTACAAAACTGTATATAACTATTTTCAGGTATTTTATCAGCTTTTTGCTCGACTCAACAGTGGGCCTGTTAGTTATTTATTTAGGTCTAAAATCATGTCAGATACTTGCTCACCGTTATGGGTGGAAATCTGTGTACTTTGGAGAGTATGGTAGGTGTTAATTCTCATTTGCTTCTAGTTTGTTTACATTTTCTTCAATATGAATTTATTTTATATGCATTTGTGTTTTACCATTTATTTTATAGGGGACCCACCAAAGTGTAATGCCTGGGTCGGGCAGTGTGCTCTGTATATCCTTGTCATGGTGGTCACCAAACTTCTAATGACACTACTGGTGCTTTTTAAATTTTGGACAGAGGTACACAAATAAGTGTTACATTTATTCACCTTTTTATTTTTTATTAAGTGTATTGAAGTCATAAGTAATAGATATGAAACTAAAAAGTTTATTCACATTAAATCAAGTATGACTGGTTTTTAGGCAAAAAGTACAAAAACTTTTTAACTTGTTGATTTTGAGGCCTGTAGGTTGGATCTTTCAGACTATCTGTGCTTTATAATAAACTTAAATATGCTTGATACTTATGTTCCATTTGTGTTATATTTTCTGCAGGTTCGCAAGTTTATTATGGCACCCATAACTAATCCAGATCTGGAAATTGTTCTAGTCATGTTTCTTGTACCATTAGTTGTTAATGTAAGTCTACTATCATTTTTTTTTATATGTTTCAACTTCAACCTTTTTGATTCCTATTCCACTGTAGCAGTTTTTTTTTAAAAGTTTTTTTTATTGAAGCATTATATCTAGATTAGATTATAAAGTGTTTTCTTAAATTGTTGGCTTATAAATAATTACTTCTCAAAGAACTTTTTTATACTTGATAAGTGTATTAGAAAATAGTGTTCTAGCTACCCTTAAATAAACTGTCTGATAAGTTGTGAAATATTTTATGCTAAAACACTGTTTATCTGCTTCCAGGCTATTGTTTTCTGGGTTGTTGACAATTTCCTCAAGCACTCAATCCAAAACTCCAAGATGATTTATGTCAACTCAGTGCCAGAGGGGCGGGTCAAATACTTCCACAACTCCGACTCTGTTAAGTGTTACAGCCGTATTGAGCGATCGGATGACCCTGACTGTGATATGCTGTTGTCAGCTGAGGAAGAAAATGATGCTAGATCTCACTCACTCAATTTTTCCTCCAACCGCTCGCTCAGTAGATGATGGCAGGCGTTATGTAGTGATGTTCATATTATTGTTACATCAAGCTGTTATGTTGAAAACAATGTTATTTATTTTTTTAGATGCTTACATTTATTGTGAAATTGACAGTTGTAATGCTAAAACTATAAATATGTATTATTTTGTCAATGATTTCATTTTTTAAAATTATATGATTCTGAAGATTGGATGTATTTTGAAATTTAGTATAATTTTGACAGTTGTTATTGTCATTTTATTTGAAAAACTTAAAATATTAACCTATTGACATTTTACAAAAATTTCTAAAAGCAATTTAGTAAATAAAAAGTATTATAGAAAACCCAAAAGCATTTCATGATATCCTAGCTAAAAATGTCAATTGAGATTAACTCAATACCATTTGAGTTCTACCTAAAAAAAATTCACAGCCAAAATATTAATTTTAGAAATACGTAACTCTTAAGATACATAGTAACATTAAATAGTTTTAACAAAATATATACATAGCAAATTTAAATAGTTAATTTCAAATCAAATGTTTTCTGACACTGATGTTTTTTTTTAAAATAATAATGTAGCTGCCTGGTTTGATGCATGTTGTTCACAGGCTGCCAGTTGTACATGTATTTTTTAACTTCACATTTAGTTGAACTACAATCTCTAATCTGGTGAGGGCAAATATTTCTAGGGGCGGTTCACAGTAGTTTAAAAGTCATTTAAATTTTGCTGGACTGGAATATAACTATTGCATACAAATTATTTTTACTCAGATGTTTTGCTAATTTATATAATTAATTTGTTAGGATCATCTTTTTAACATAATCTTAACATATTTAATCCATTTTAAAATATCTAAGTTTACAAGTAAAAAATTATACAAATGAATGCTTAAACTCTGAAATTAATGCGATTAAAAAATTAAGCATCTTATAAAATAATGGAAATGATTATTTGTATTTCCATGTCTTCCTTAAGAGATATTCAGTGAAGTGATTCATTTTGCCAAGTGCTGCTCAATTTGCTTCAGTGTTCATCAAATATATACTTAGGTAGCATTGACTGCGAAGAAGCTCGGGGTATTTTTTAATGAATTTGTGTCAGGGTAGGGTTACTGACTTTGCTATCATTGGCTTATCCAGTTGTTATTAGTCACCTATTAGGATTGAAACATTTTTTGAACCCTTGAGAATATTTTACACTACGGATTATTAAATGAACGCAAACTTGTTACAATGTTGTCACTTGGTGTTGTGGTAATAATGTGTCTACTTGATCTGTCTTGTATTATTTGTTGAGGTCATAACTAAACAAACAGATCTTATCCAACAAGTTGCTTGTTTCAATAATGCTTCCAAAAGTCATGTAACCATTCCATCAAGGAATCCTAAATATTGTACTCTAACATGATTGTTGAACTATGATGAAACTGCTCTTGCCCCAAACCAGCTGAAATTGTCAATGTATATTTTCTACCTAAGTACATCCAGGGTTGTACATTCCCACTGCTGCTGTGTCAAATGTTACTTAGTACATCAAATGATAGGTTTAATTGTGACCTGAATTATTCCATGTTTTTGTTAATGTTTAGTTCTATCTTGTAACAACGAAACTTAATTTGTGTCTATTTATATTCATTATGTCATCACACTTGTATCCATTGTGCTGTTTACCATTGGTTTGTCACACTTGTATTCATTGTGCTATTCCATTGCCAATATGCTCGTTTACCAGTCACCTTTAGTGTTGCTTCACGTACATTGAAACCAAAGAAAGATGTTTATAAAACTTTTTTTTTACTTCAAAAGAAACAGATCTTAATATCTCATATTTTAAGTTTTGTGTGAGATTGTATAGGCTTTTTCATGCAATTATTTAAACAGCACTCTGTAAAAAGTTCATTATGTGGTGCTTATTCTTTTATCTTGTTTTTGTTGCAAAGAAAGTGATTGAATTTCTGCTAAAAAAAATTTTTAGTTAATAATATGATGTTTCTCTCTGCAAAAATTAAGAATTATTATAACAAAAGTTGTAACACAATAACAGTTAATATTTCTTTTATCCTAATTATATTTTGTATTAATTCTATCAAATTATGTCCTTTATTGATTTAGGCTGTTTGCTAAAAAAACAGTTCAGAACATTTTCCTTCAAATTTTCCCTATGTAATTTCAAATCTTAATTTTACTGAGCATGTTATTATCCAGATTAAATTCCACAGTTAGTTCTATTATACAGTTTGAAGCTTACGTAAAAACTTCAATCAACTTAATTTATTTTAGGCTATTTATTAACTAGTTTCAATTCACATCTCAAGTGAAACTAGGAATTGTTGGGTTTTTTTTTTTTTAATATGAGAAATTTGTATTTTGTTTATTATATTTACTCCATAAGTTGTGATATTTGTATAGGTTATGTTATGTCATGGAATCATAAGACTTAAACTGCACTAATTTATTTCATAATATCTTACAGTGTTCACATGTTTATTCTGCTTCAAATATATACATAGTTGGTATTACAAAAACGATATTGCATAATTTGGGAGTAGTCATACATTTGTTGTTGATTTGTTTGCATATCTATTTTATGCTTAGCGTTAGTTTTTAGTTTTTCCTTTTTAAATTTCCAACTTTATTACTGAAGTCTTCAGATATATATTTTTAAAATGTAAACACTTGTTTCTTAAGCTCATCCATTACATTGAACCAAACATCTTTTTTTTTCATCAGGTAATTCATAATTACTAATTTCTTTTACCTTAGAGCATTTTAACCAAAAACTACTAGAAATCCTGACATAAGGGTGCCAAATTTTAAAAATTAAAGTTGAGTTAATGTACATTATTATATTTCTTTTGCAAAAACTGTTGTTTTTTTTACAGTTTGTGTAAATTGTAATTAACCAGCTAAGTCATTTAACCCTGAAGGTGGTCATTTTTCAAAATAGCCTGTATGTTTCTGTATGTTTTTCAAGCACAAGAATTTTTAATTAATCAGCTGTGACAAGCTTTAACTGCTGAACATAGACATTTTTTCATCTGTTACTGTAGGTTGGCTTCTTATCTCCATACAAATAGCTTTGCAATTTTTAAAAAACCATATTTTAATCAGGTTTTGTTATATTTAGAATATTTACTTTTCTGACTTGTTCATAGGCTGCGCATACTGCCCCCACCTCTAGTTTGAAGAGTGAAAATCCTTGATCACTAGATTGTGGTCAGCAGATCTTTTTTTTTCTCTTGGAATCAGATAAACCTCATGACCCCCAAATTTTCATCCCTTTTGTAATTCCATGGATTTATAATAGAATAGTCCCTTGTAATCCCCACCTTTATGTATGTAGACATAGTCCTATTGGTCCAACAACAGAGTTGCTCTAGAGACTGTATATTGTATCCTGGATTTTTTATTGAACTATTGTAGGATCAATAGCAGTGGATGATCTAACATTTTTGCTGACAAACATTTACATGTTTTTACTCTGTGTTGTGTGTTAAAAAGTTCGGTGCTCCCTAGTCGTTGTGACTGTAGCTTAAGCCCTATTCTCACTCCATACTATACCTCAGCTTTTTCATTTTGTACTGAGTGTTTGATCATGCTTGTTTTCTTTACTTCAGACTTTTCTCTGGCATTTTATTTAGTTGGTATCTGGATATAATTGTATGAGGGTTTTAGGTGGTTTATTTTTTTATAAGACTCTATACTGATTAGATTGATTGATAGATTGATGTTTTAGTTGTGCCTACAGAGGTCTAAGGAAATTCACATGTTACTGTTTGATTTTTTAAAAATATTACTTGTAACATTTTGATTTTTGTAGCTGGATGATGTGGTAAGAAAAATGTGGCCGTATATTTGTACTGCCATAGATAAAGAAATTTAGATATATTGTTCTAAATAGCTTAAAACATACTCTGAGGAGGGTTTTTTGTTCAGGAAATTCTGTTAAGATAAAATACTATTCTTTTTACTGTGGTCAAATGGTCATGCTTCAACTGTTTACCCGAAATTCTTGAGTTCGGATCCTGAGCTCTATTCCATCACAATGTCCCTGAGTCTACTCATCTCTAATGGGTACTTGACTCAATTTTTTTTGGAAAGGTGAATTCTACTTAAACATGCCTCTGAAGGGGAAGTAACTGGTTGTTTATTAAGATTAAAGCTCTTTCTTATAAGAGTTAGGGAATAATTGAATGCTTAAGATCCTTCTTTTAATACATTGTCGTAAATGTAAAGTATATTAGGTCTAGTTCTTTTAAGTTAGGTAAGCTGGTGCTGTTTGAGTGGAATTTCTCAGTAGGAATTGTCTCCCATGACAGGGAGTTTAATCATTTCTCCCATGACTTACGATTTTACATTTTGTTCCAATGACAATTGGTATCTCAGGTCAGTTAATTGTGACCAGTGTTAATTTCTGCTTGGATTGATCTGTTCTCTCTATTCTTAATGAGTTGTGAATGTAACTGTACAATAATTTGTAAATTGTTTTGTATCATATTTTAGTTTACAACAGGACAATCAGCATAATAAGAATGTTAGCCATCGGTAATATTTTATTTTTGTGTAAATTCTTCATTATTTTTCTTTTCTTTAATAAAGAATACACTAAAATTACAAATGTACATTCTTTTCACTTTAAAGTTATCCTTAAGTTATAAAAGTATGTGAATGTTTGTTATTTTGGTGGACAAATAAGGGGTGGCCCATCTACATTACTTGTACGAAGTGTAGCCAAAGTTTTTGAGCTGGGGATTTAAATGGTTCAACGTGACTAGCGTGGATTGTAATGATCAAACTAAGGGCTGGTTCAAGGGAGGTAAGAAGTGAATATGATCAAAAGGTCAGATCACGAAAGTTGTGAGTAGTCTTCTGATATAGGCCTATATTTAGACAGAGACGAAATCTATGAATATTAACACTTAGGATAATTCGTAATGCTAAGCTTATAATGAGCATAAAATGGGAAACACTGCACATGTTTGCTAAACAAATGCCACATCTCGATGGCAGTATTGGTTAGGTTGTAGCAGAACAAATAAAAAGGTGTCCAGGTATTCCAACCAGTGTACATAAGCCTTTACTCTCAAAGTTCATTAACCCGAAGCTGTGTGTAAGGGCCTTTGTGTCGTAAGCTCCAGTAGGCCAGTGCTATCCTAATTCGTGTACATCCTGTAATGGGAGGAAAGCACCTTCAGTGATGTCTAGGGCTGTCTGCCAGAATTCCCTTGAAGTGGTGTAGCAACCTCTTCCGGTGCTTGGAGCGACTATCAAATTTGCGCCCCCACCTACACAATGCGTTTCCGTGGGCGTGTAGCCTATGTGTGTGTGTGTGTATGTGTTTGACCCCAGACAGGACTACTGACATGATTTATGTTTCTTAATACTCTAAGTACACAGCGCTAATCTTATCGCATTACAGTTGCGCTCGCGTTCAAAGAATTTTAAATCTAATCATTACCTATATTGTCTGAAAATATATACGGGCTGCCAACTTTTCAGTTATATAGCCAGGCTCCGTGCAGGTTCGACTGTTTAGGCGATCCTTTTCGCTTGCTTTTTTAGTTTTATACATGATGATATTGTATGCCCTGTCCATTCCTATCTCCTTGTTTTTGTTGTGTTTTTTTTTCACTCGGACTCTCTTTTGGAGAGGATTGCAGATTGATTTTGCTTATCATATCTGGCCAACTTCTTCTTCTTCGTTCTTAATTTTTAGTGTTGGGAGGGATCGAGCCTTATCTGCCAGAGGGTTTGAACTCGAGACTTTTTTCGAATTTATCAACCATGAGCTTTGCCATGCTTCCATCACAATTAAGGATTACGTGTCAACTGGTTATGTGCCATTGACTCCGATTTCAGCCTGCTTTTCTTTTTGGGTGTGCTTCCATAGCCTTTGTCCAACCAAGAACAAACTACAAGGTAGCAGTTGTTTGATTTTGGAGTTGTCTCTCCTAGAAGAGTGGCTGTCCCTAGCTAACGAGCCTCATCTGCCCGATACTTTTCGGTTTAGCAACCATGAGCTTTACCGACTCGACCACACCAACCCCTATCTGGCCAACGAATCTGCATAATTCTACTCATGCATGCCACAATTTTTAGCTCCTGTTTTGTTAACCAAATTTTTTTTTCAGCTAAACAAGATTGTTGAAGATACCAGTTTTTTACACGTACTACAAATTTGTTGCATGTTTCTTTCTTTTTTGAAAGCATATAAATTGTTTTTTAAAAAATCTATACAGTAACTGCCTCCGATAACCTTGGTGGGTACTTCCAATTTATAAAACAACAGGTTAGGGAGCGATTAAGTTTGAATCGAGCCTTGCTAGAAATTATCCAAGGTCACCGGTTACTGGGATATACCTAGTTTTCGATCGTAACATGACATTGTTTTATTATTTTCCCACGTTTTCTTTAACTTGCTTTCTCTGTTTGTTTGTCTTTCCAATCAAATCTTGCGATCGAAATTTCTGGCACTTCCCAGTTAGCTAGCGCGCTGAAATTTTCAGGGAAGCTTTCTTTTGGATGACCATTGAATATTCAATTGTTATTATTACTAAATTGATCAATGGAAACATTTTATTGAGCATTTTAGACCGCTATATAATCTATATATATAATTCTCCTCTGCTAGCCATTAGAAAAAAAACCAGCGACGCGTACCTCGCGCGCAGTGAAGCGAACGATCACATGTCGCCACAGGCTTAGGGGCAGAGAATTTAGCTTGAACCGAGTTTAAACTTACAGGAGGTAGGCCAGTTTGGGGGAGACGATATGGTCTAGTGGTTGGGCACACGATTGCTATCCCACTCGACACGGGTTCAAATCTATGTGTTCTAGTCAGTAACGTATTCAAACAACGTGTTTTTTACGAGTTGTCTTTTTACGAGTTGTCTTTTTACGAGTTGTCTTTTTACGAGTTGTCTTTTTACGAGTTGTCTTCGTTTACCCAAAAAAAGTGAAAAGATAAAATCGATAGCAAGATTTTAATGCAAACAAACAGACAAAGACTAAAAAGTAGAAAATAATAATCATTAAAAAAGTTTTAAAAAACCCACGTTTTCTGATTGAACTAAAAAGTAGAAAATAAACGCTATACATCACAATAATGCAAGCGATCACTCTACTATAAGCGATCAAAAACGTGGGTCGCCGAAGTAAAAGTTATATTACTATTGATTAGATAATACTATTGACTTTTATTAGGGAGCTTATAGAGAGTCAACAGTATTAGAAACTGTAAGAAAATCACGGCGCCCCACGTTTTTGATCGCTTATAGTAGAGTGATCGCTTGCATTATTGTGATGTATAGCGTTTATTTTCTACTTTTTAGTTCAATCAGAAAACGTGGGTTTTTTAAAACTTTTTTAATGATTATTATTAGGGTCTACCATTTATTCCCAGTTCAGGCCCCATTCGAATGCCGGTATTGAATATTTTTTTGGCCGGCATTTATGGTACTGGGTTCTTTATATAGTATTAACACGATAATGCAAAGTGTCTTAATTAGCTTTTTCGTTTCTCTCATGTTATATTTCGTGTACTGAAACTATATATATAAATTGTATATATATATATATATATATATATATATATATATATATATATATATATATATATATATATATATAATTCTCTTCATGGAGACCATAGAAAACACCAAGCTGTAAGCGCGTCTAGCAGCCCCCCTCTCTTCCTCTCTAGGCTATCCCTACCACCCCACCCCCACATGGTCTGGTGAGCTGTGGTTCACGCTTAATGTTTACAATCGAGGAGCCGGGTTTAGTGACGGCTATTAGGGGCAGATAATTTAGTTTGAAACTATTTTAAACTTAGGGGAGGTAACTAAAGGGAGGCTGCTTTCACAGGGGGGGGTGTAGGGTAAGGGGTTGGGGTTGGGGACAGGAGGGGGGTTATCGTCCTTAACGACCTACTGATGGTGTTTTAAAGCAAATTTTTTCAGTGGCAGCATTCAGCATTGGTACTGTCGAATTTACAAATTATGAATTACTGAAAAGTAGAAAATAAAACAACTAAATAGCAGCATATGATACGACCGGTCGGCTCGTATTTAATATTGTTTAACAACGAGAATTTTCATAAATCCACTGATTTTATTGTTGTTCGTGCGCTGCAGTCTGACTGTTATGCAGAAAACAAAACTCGCAACGACGAATATGATATAAAAAGATACACCTATATAAAGCCTATTTGTTCTGTTATTATGTAAAGACTAACTGACCACGCCCTTTGGTACACGTTAGACAAAAAAATTAATAATTAAAAAAACATATGCATTACTAAGTGTTTTATCCATGTAAGTCTTTCTTAATATTAATTAATCTGGATCTAGAACTATTTAAAAGACTGTATTTTCTTTTTAAACTTATTTTTTTTTTTTCTTTTTTTTTTTTTTTTTTTTTTTTTTTTTTTTAGATTTCTTGAATTTAGCCGGCTTTATCACAGGGGGAAAACGTTTTAAATGTGCGTAATTATTAGTAGATCTAGATTATTCTAGATCTAGTAGTTAATTAGCCTTGTCTCTATCAATATAGATCTAACTGTTATAACAAGATCTACATTTTTATAGCCATCTTTTGAACGTTTATTACATTTGTTTTCGGCTAACTTCTCTTGTCTTAATTTAAATAGCTTTGGCCAGCAAAACGTTGATCTACGTCATAAATCTGGCTAATTGTTTATTTTCGGTGTTCCTGCAGGTACCCGAAAAGAAAAAAAACTGGAACTAGACTTGCTTTTTATTTTGTTTTGTTTTCAGCTTTTTGCAACGGTTGATGTTTCATTTCAGTCATATCCAGTGTGGATTGATTTTTCAATTAGCCTCCTTATTTCTAATTGGACAATTCTATTTCTTGGATAGATTCTAGATCTACTAAAGTACTAATGTGGGTAAGAAAATGAAAGAATGAGTCCTTTGGCTTTTTAAATGATTTTTTACTGATTGTGCACAGTTCAGTACACATTTGACACTGACAGTCACGGTAGATCTAGAAATCTAGTACTAAGGGCCGGTAATCTATCGTTTAGGTACGTAAATTCACTTGCGACTAGTAATGTGAAAAACAGGTGACTCCTTAAATTTTAATAATTATTTCAAATTTTGAAGGGGATTCGATATGTTTTGAAAAATTCAAAAATGTGTCCTTGTTTCATTTATGTACAATGTTGAATGGGTAAAATCACGATATAGCGTCGGTTATTATTCCGGAACTGTACAGCAGTAAAAAACAGTAAAACCATGGCGTAGTCTGTCGAGCCGTTCCGGAAACCACCGGAAATACTGTAAACAATCATTTATTTGCCGCCATATTATTTTTAATACATAATGTTGAAAAATGTGCAATGATTGATTTTAGTTGCAATTTAAATACTGTTTTGCTAATTATTTTGTATTTCTAATTATTTTAAGTGTATGTGCTAATTATTGCTGCTACTAAACATTATTCTAGTTATTCTTACTACTTTTAACTTTAGAAAATCTAATCGTCTTATTTACTAACAGAACTAGAGCTGGTTGTCGCAAATCTTCTGCAAGTTTTTTTCTGTTTCTTAAAAAAAAAACATTAATTACTACACTCGACTTTAATAATAATATTTAGATTTACTAATTGTAGCTAATTTTTGTCAGTTAAACATTAAATTAAGTTAAAACATTAATTTAATGCACTTGACTTTATTTTTCTTTCAACGGTCAAATAAACTATGGTTTACAGTAACGAATGTTACCGAAACTCAACGAACATTACCCAATAATTTCCGACGCTATATCGTGATTTTACCGTTGAATGTTTCAATGTAGATCTACACAATACTACACATGTTTTTAAACAATTGCATTAAAACTTTTCAGTAATAGCGATGTTTCCTACAGATGCAACCATTTTCATTTACTATAACACTAACAGCCATCATGTTTATTATTTTTATAGTAAACTTAGAGCGCAAGATTCATGGGAAGCCACTCTAACTTACAGATGGCCGCCTTTTATATAGCAAATCCTGCTCGCAAACACTGCTGTTTAAAGTTAATTTCTTGCCTATATTGGTATCTGATATATTGATTTAGGTTTATTATTCATTAATCTATAATATTTGACACAAATATATCACAATTAAAGCCTTAACAATGAGGTAACTTTTTCGTACATTACTAACCATGGGCGATTTTACGTACCTAAAACAATAGATTACCTATAGGCCTAATAATCAAATTATTAATATGTGTCAATACGTGAATTGAATGTGTGTGTAGTGCGTGTATGTAGTCTACTTACTTACTGACACTGTGACTCTGTATGTAAGCTTACTATAAAGTAACTGTGTGTATCATAGAAATCAGAATCTTTCCAGTTATTATCTAGAATCTAGAACATACTGTTACAAATACAAATAGATTAGGTCTAGATTCTAGGCAGACCTAGACTAGAAAATATCTTTTTAGAATGTACCTACATGTCTACTACATGTACAGGTACAAAAAACTCTGGCTCTAAAAAGTAAGAAGTGCCCTTCTTTACCTAGAATCTAAAAACTAAATATTAGCCCTAAATAATAAATACTAGATCAGCATATCGCTTGACCTACATTTTTACCGTCATCATGGTAATGATGGCTGCTGAAAACAAAGATACAGCTTTTCTGTTGTTTTTTTAAACAATTTTTCATGGTCATTTCAGAAATATATACTTAAAAACCATTATTTTTGCGTATTATTCAACGATACCGCCTAGTTTTAACAATGGAGATTAGTGTTTAATGCAAACTTGCCAAGTGAGCAAAACGTGAATTGCTTTATTTAATATTGTTCGAAACATACTGAAAATATATTCTAAACTATAGAAAATTATAACTTGCTTTCTACTAAACTAATTCATTAATGTTTTAAAAATCATACAGGGTAAAAACAAAACTTTTAAAAAATAACTTGATCAAGACAACAGCTAACTAAGCCCGCCCATTTTGCCTGCCGTGTATTTGAGTGGGGAGAAATCTAGCAGACGGCACCTTTCTTGTGAACAGCAGTGAAAGATCTATTGCCTCACAGCAACACTCCTTTGAAAATGAACCCACCGTATCACCGAAAATAAGTCGTATCATTGTAGCCATTTTTTCACAAATCATTTTCTAGGCTACCGATTAAATTTGATAAATTAAATTGGTATCAAATTAACGGTAAATAAATGTAAGCAACTTCTTATACTAGATCTAGTTCTAGATCTAAAAATAGGCTAACTAAAAAAATACTAAAATCTGGACTTGCAGATCTAGATCGTCTAGATGACTGAGACTGTTGACTCTAGAGGGTTGATTGAAGATACCAATAATGTCCAATAATAATTGACTTCCAAAAAAAGGTGTGTTAGGTTATTAGTATAAGTAATATTGTGATCTTGATTAGTTTTATTTTTAAGGTTAGAAATTAGGGAGGCACATGGTAGGATTGGGGTTAGCATTGACATTAGCAAGCCAAATGTCAGTGTATATATTAATTAACTACTAGTAACCTAATAGCACTTTTTAATTAAAGAAGATTCTGTTATCAGAGACTGGTATGTCAGGATTTTTCTCCCATAGAGAAAAAACCTGAGCAGTTTATCTCAAGTGACGGATATTTTGAACTTCTTGAATAACTTTTTAAAAACTTTCATTTATATCAAGAAAAGATTTAAATAAAAAAAAACAACACTCGCAACATTGATATGCTCTGTTTGAAACTGACAACCACTATTTAATTTGTGAACAAGTATGTACAATAGACACTAAGTCAACACCAAAGTATAATTCATTAAGAGCAATAAATAAACCACAAAAATCACTAACAGATAACTCAAAGATACTGAAATATATCTAACAATTAGATATCAAAGTCACAGGTAAGGCCTTGGTGAAATAAGACCCCTCAATACAATATCATAAACACTGGAATGACCATACAACTTGGTGAAATATCACACCTAAGCAATACCTCATAAACACTTGAATAACCATACAACTTGTATGGTGAGGAACTAAAATATACCACCACGAACTGAATAATTCAAATAAAACCTCACACACACACCGCAGTGTGTCTCCCGGGGTCTAGGTCAAAGTCTTCTTAGACTTCTCGTGTCGAGTTTTTATCTAGGATCAAAACCAAGGGAGGTTACTGTAATGTTGTAAGGCCATTGGTCGAGGATCGGTTAAGGATCTTCAATGCCATAAGACCATTGGCCGAGGATCTGATAAGGATTAAAATCCAAGTCACATGACGTGACGAAGTTCAGTTGACCGAGGAGATCAGGTGAACTAACAACTCTCCCAAGGTCAATTACATAACTCAAGCAAACTAAATAAAGCAAAAGACCTAAGTAGGTCACACCACCATCTATTTTTACTTTTACTTGGATTGCTGTTTCTTATAATAGGTTGAAAAGTTGGTTCCAAAATGTTTGTTGCCAGAAAGCATATTTTTCAACCAAAATTGAATATTTTATAACATTTGTGTAATAACTACAAAATGACTTCCTGTTTTATTAAGGCTAGAAATATTCAAACAAATAATTACTAGTAATATAATAGTAATTTAGCAAACACGTTTATTTTTTTTAGATTTGTTGAGTCAGGCTGTTGTGATGATAGGAGATGTTATATTATTTAATACGAGCCGACCCGCTGCGTATCATACGCCGCTATTTAGTTGTTTTTTTTCTACTTTTCAGTAATTTATAATTTGTGAATTCGACAGTACCAATGCTGTCACTGAAAATATTTGCTTAAAAACACTAAACCCCCCCCTCCCCCCCCCCCACGTGAAAGCAGCCTCCTCTTAGTTACCTCCTCTAAGTTTACAATCGTTTCAAACTCAATTATCTGCCCCTAATAGCCGTCACCAAACCCGTCTCTATGATTGTAAAATGTAAACAGAGTGAACACCGCTCACCAGATCATGTGGGGGTGGGGTGGGGGTGGTAGTGATAGTGATAGAGAGGAAGAGAGGGGACTGCAAAGGCGCGCTTGCAGCTTGTTTTCTAACTGATCCCAGAAGAGAATTATATATATAGATAAATATAATACTAGGCTATACATCATCATCATCATTCCTTTGTGGCCCCTGGGGAGCAAAGGGCTGCAACTACACATTTCCAGCGGACTTGGTTTTGGGCTGCTCCCTTAATCTGTGCCCATGTGAGCCCAGCTGTTTTCGCCTCTTCTTCAACCATTCTTTTCCATGTTTTCTTTGGGCGGCCCACTTTCTTTTTTCATTGACCACTGTTGTGTATTATATGATGGAAAACAATTGTAGTGACTTTCATTGTTTTACTTTCCCTGGCCACTCCGGTTGATTTCAAGGAGGGGTTGAGGGCGGTTTTTTAAAACATTTGAATTGATAAAATAATTCTAAACGGCTTATATTCAATACAAAAATATAAAATGAGTGTAATCAATGGTTCCTAAACAGCTGTAAGTTTTTAAAATGTAACCATAATTTTATCGCTTGCCATATTTAAAAAGATTTTTTTAAAATTTAGAATGATTACATAGACTTTTCAAGCCTACTATAGCAAGGTAGCACTGGTGGACCTGCTAGGTTAGAGGTCATGTTTGTTTGTCTAAATCAGGGGTCTCCAAACTACGGCCCGCGGGCCGGATGCGGCCCGCGAGGTCATTTCATCCGGCCCGCGAAGATCTTTTTGTCCACTGAATAAATGTTGTTAGAGGTGACTGAGGAGCTTTGCACGGAAAATTCAAAACAATTTGAAAATGTAGCTTTGGGTGCAAATACCATTGCCCGTCGTGTTTCAGACATTGGTGAAAACATCGTGAATCAAATAGCGAAATATGTGAGCAAGCTTCGCCATTTTTCAATTGCAATGGATGAGTCGCTGAACAGTTGTTCCACCTCAACT